GGCTCCAGCAAGTTATGGGCCTGATACCAAGTTTCTGGGCTCGTCTCTGACATGGTGGACAGACGGACAAAGTGTTGCCGTCACCATGGGAGTAAACAAAAGCAGGAATAACTTGGAAAAAAGCCCCATCGCAAACAGAGTCCAACAGCAAGCTTCTGCCAAGTCTGGCGTCTAACAAAGACCGCCCACGTGGTGCGTGGCCCTCCATCACCAGCTGCACCCACAGCGTAGTGAGAAAAAACCCGCTCCAACGATGGCATGGCCCAAGAGGCAGTGGGTTCGTCCCCCGGGTCACCCTCTCTCTTGGATCCTCTCGGTGCTTGTCCACAACCGTATGATGGTGGTGCGTCCTGGATGTCATGGCACTTCTCTCTTCTGCAGGAATAGTCTTGGTCGTCGTCCTCACAGCTTCGTCGTGCACCTCGGGGCAGTTGCTGGCGGAACCCTTCTAGAACTTTGCCTCCCGTTATGCTGTGCTTTGTATGCTGTATGTCACTTCAGCTCGTGTTGGTGGTGCTGACTGCGGCCAGACAGACAGACCTGCTCTCAACAACACAGACGCTGCTGCCGGGGGCTCTGGGGGAGCTGGGATCAACCTAGGAGCCCAGGCCTGTGATCCTCAAGCCACTGGCTGCCACCAGATCAAGTCAGGCCCCAGCCGAGCAGCGCCGGTCTTGCCTGTAGACGGTTAGAGAGGCCATCGTCGAGGGATCCCTATCGATCTCTCCCGCTCGCGATTCGTCTGCTCGCAGATAGTCGGTGTTGCTATTCCTATCGCAGTCGGCAAGCTCCTTCTTTCGGTCGTCGAGCTCCACCGCCATTGTCCTGACTGGGAGCCAGACCCCCTGGCTAAGACTCGAGGGCTTGGGCGTCGACCATCTTCTTTTGGCTTCGCTCGTTCTGGCGGTGGCCGTTTTTTTTATTCTCTTCCCCAGGATCTTCCCTTAGCTGCCGGGTTTGCGAGCTGGACCAGTCATACACAGACATGGGCCTTGTCGTACAGCGCATCGCATCTAATGCGCACTCTTTGGGCTCTTGGGCGTCGAATCTGTCCGTCTTGCCTGAAAAAAGCCCTCAGCAAGGCGAGAGGAAGAAGAGTCAGCGACGTGGGAGCGAGGCCTCATTGGACAAGACTGGGGACGACGTTGGGGGGAAGCTTGCTGTCAAATGGGAAGCCGTTTGAAGCCCCGCTCCTTCCCGAGCAAGCGGAGCAGATATCCTCCAATCATTGCTCGTCTAACAACCATCTCTGTCTCTGCTACTGTCTCTGGTGTGCGTCGTCTGTAGCCAGCCGTTCGACCAGAGCCATGACGCCAATGAGACCGATGACCACCCTTTCCGCTGTCACAAGAGCCCGATGCTTACCTATAACTGATCTGGGAGACATCTGACTACTGAGGGCAGATGGGGATGCGTGGTTTCTCCGTCCGCCGTCACAATAGGTGTAGGCGCTTATTGTGCGAGCGGGTGTGATGTGATTGGAACTGCATCAGCCAGTCTTTTTCTTTGGGTAGAAATCTAGGACTCGACAAGTTGGATGGTGTCATGCAGAGAGGCCAAGCTGCCCCTCACCACCCTCCTTCTGCTCTGTTCCCATTCCAGCAGATGGCCTGGGGCGTTGGGTTGGGTCTCGCTGGCCTGGCCTGAGCGAATTCGTCTGGGCGACATCTGCAGGTCCATGTCCCATCGGATGAGGAGTCGGCAGCAGGGACACATTCCCTGAGGGATGGTCGTGTGTCTACTTTTTCGTGTGCCATCGGCATCATGACACTCGTTCTCTCATGAAAACCATCACCCCACAGAGCACCTCGCCATGGTTCCCTCTACACCGTGGGGGTTTCTGACTGCCGGACCATGAGGTGGTGGCTCCGTCTGACCCTCTCGTCTCCCTATACTTCCGGCGCAACACGGAGCCATCTTCTGTTTACCGTCATGAATCCCTTCGCTTGTACATGAAAGCCATGGCAACCAGATGCCTTTGTATCCACCTCTGGCGGGCCGCAGGGGGTGAAGCGAGAGAAGATTTGGAGACGCCGTGGAACTTGAGAAGATGCATGCCTCGTGATGCGGATGCAGATGCCATGGCCTGCAACGCTGGGACGCCCACTTCACTCCCCAAGTTACCTCGCAAGGGGACCGAGGAGGGGGAGCCTTGTCAGGGCTATCTGCTGCACCTGGTCGCCTGCTGCTCTGCTAGTCCCGTTGATAGAGCGATATCGAGCCAACATGGATAGCTTCCTCCTCCGTGGAGCTCTCTGCGGTACCTTGCCTGGAGCTATCCTCTAGCTTGCATCGCTTTAGCAAGCTGCCTTGGAGGAAGTGGCATTGCTCTCAGGCTAACATGTCCGTCACCATGGCGATGGTGGTATCAATTGGCTGTTCTGGTGGTTGCTGGCACGAGCATCAATGGGACATCACCAGACACCGACTCTCGAGCTTGGGTCTGCCTTGGCTTGGCCACGAGAGCTCCATGGGAGCTTTGACGCTTGGGAATTGCCGATCCCAGAGTCGAGAGCCGACCTGAATTGCTGATCGACGATCCATGTATCCGTGCTAGGGCTTAGCATTATCAAACTGCACATTATCCCATTGAGAGAGGTTGATGGGTGTAGTAGGGTAGCTATTACTATCCCGTCCATCTTCACTTTGGGATGGCCTCATCAGCATCAGGACCAATCCAGCCCAGACTGTCTGAGACGAGAGCCAAAGCCAGTCAGCCAACTGGGCGCCAATGGTCCAATCATACGAGTCCTCACCTACCCAAGAAGCACCCATTTGCACTTCCATGGTCTGTTGTAAATGTGATGTGTCGGTGCTTATGCTGGACACGTTTTGGACGACACCCTCAGTTTCATCCCTTTAGCTTTGCACTTTGCAAGTCAAGCTAACCCTGACATCGCTTCACTCAACCTGTCTGGCCTCAAAGCACCGTCCGTCGTGTTCATCTAGTCTATCGCCTCAGCCTCGCCGAAAATGCTGAGATACGAAGCCGTCTCCGTCCTTCAGCTGTCTACTAACAACCGCTATTAAAAGACAGCGCGCCCAAGGCGTCGGCTCGTAGCACTGTAGGTAGTTACTGCGTAGTCATCGTCAGCCTCACACCGCCTCTGCCATTGGGTCTCGTCCCGCTCCCTCCCTCCCTTCCGCTTCCGCTCCTCGTTCCCGCGCGCACCATCAAAAAGCAATGCCGATCGGGCTTACAGCGCTGTTAAGCTCATCGGGGTCCCGTTTGCTGGAGCTCCCTCATGTCACGCGGACGCCCGCGGGCCGGTATCCAACGTCAGGCATTGGGCCCAGAGAACCGGTTATTGCTTTTTTCTTCCAGAGACAGTGTCAGTTTTGTTCGGCCCTCGGTCGACTGATGTGCAGCAATCGTACGGAAATCTCCAATTGAACCTTCTCCTCTCCCTGTGACTTTTCTGATGATCCGTGTTTCACTCCACAATGGACCCTGAGCCCACCGTTTGCTGATCACAACCGACCGCATCTCTGGCCGTGTCTAAGCAGGCCCACGGATTACCCCGAACTGAAGGGTAGATGGGGTTCACTGTGGACGATTGCTGGGGATAGAATCTGAACCGAACGATTCAAAACCTAGCCGAACTCGCCACTTGGTCACCAGCCACCAAGATGCAGAGGTACATCTGTTGGTGGTGCTTGATGTAGCAAATGTCATGTACCAGACACACCACCACGGAGTTGCCTTCTGGAAGCGCATTATTCCTTCACCCCGAGACGAGAATCCTTCCATGAATCATTCTATCGGATAGATTAATCATGATGACTTTCGTGGACGGCTTTAACACTGCCCCGGCCCCGAAGCATCATTTGAACTCATTCCCCGTCGCTCCTCGTTATTCGCTTCGGCTCATGGTGACGGGACGGACGCTCATCGTCGCGCGCGCTCCGAAGCTGCTTTCTCAGCACATCTCTGCAGTGATGGAAGTCCTCGGAGAGAGAGCGAGGAGCAGCAGCTCTTGACTCGCCAGGTACCTGACTCAACAGGCCAGCTACATCGGTGGTCGTATACGTCGCCACTAGGCCCCTTGTATCTCCCCGCGGGCAGCCTCGTAATGACCGCGTACCTCCTGTGCATTACACGCCACATCCCACTCCCTGTAGAGCCAGTGAATGAACCAGGACGGGCTGCAATTCCAACCGTTTCAGCGGGCAGCCGACCATTGACCACTGAGACCCGGGCATTCGCGGCCGCTGGCGCAGCTCTGCATCAGCGGGCCTCGGGGCCATTTCAGCGCCAGTCATGGTGCTCGCGGCTCACTAACTCGTCTGGGCTGGGTGTGTGTAAGTGCTGAGGGCATTCGATTCTGTTCCATCGCCGGCCCGGGGTCTTCTTATTCGCTGCTGAGCTGAGATCCTGACCCTTACCAAGCAGCTCGCTCCGGCGCGTCAGTTCACCACAAGCTGCTAGTCAGCTCACATATCGCCGTCGCCGCCACCGCCGACGGGAAGCCAATTCAAAAAGGGACGTCGGAGGCGACTCGTGTTCCCCAAAGAATCCGAATAAGCCACCCCAAAAGTGAAAGAAGAGATAAACCGGACGCCTGACTATTTGTCCAGGGGCATCTTTTAGATTCTTGCCACTGTACCTGATTAACACCGACAATCCCGTCGCTTCGTGCTTTCCGATTGAACCTAAGCATCGATAGGTTTGGAAGCCCGTGGATCTCTCTTTGCTCCTCCACTGCGAGTACTTTAAGTCGTCGACGCCTCAGGCAACAACTTCAACAGATCACCCAAGGAGGAATCTGTGATTGCCCATTCAGCTGGGGCATCCATCCTTGAAGCCGGCAAAAAGTACCACAGGTACAAGACTCAACACCACCAGAGACCAACCACCCACGCACCTCAGGCGCCATCACACACCCTCACGAGTCAAACCACTCGCTCGTTTCTTTCCCCCGTCTTCGGCAGCCTCCAGCTGCCCTCTTCTCAGTAACCACAGGCCAAGACTGCTGTCGGGCGAATCAAGCCCCCGACCATCAGGCCCATAGACCATAGCGGACCAGTCGACGACTCGTCTCGAGGCCGCCAGCCCACTCACTCACTCCCTGCTCCCCCAAGAGGGCCAGTCCGCGAGTCGACATCTCTACTCCACCGTCGCGACCAGGCCCAGCTCCAACAGAGGAGGGACCACTCGCCAAGTACCTACGGTTACAGCCAGTACCGCTCACAGCAGCACCCCTCCAGGGACCACCCTGAGGACCACCCGCAGCCACTGAGAGTTGCTTGACACCTCGGAGCACCACCCAAGGGCCAAGTGGACCGCCTGGACCACCCCCAAGCAGCAAACCCTGTCGTCCACTCCAAGCCGTGGACCCCCTCCTGGCGTCTGATCGTCGACTCCTAGTCCCTCGCCCTCGCTCCCCCCGGTATCGACGAATCACCTCTCCCTGGTCCAGCCAGTCGTCGCCCGTGACCTCATCTGGCTCGTTGTTCTTCAATACCCCAAGGCCGCTTTCTCGAACGTCCCTTTCTCCCGCATTGTTCTGCTGTTCCCTGTGGACGTGAACAGTCAAGCAAAAACCACCTTACAGATTTATACTCAGGTCGTGTTCAGCAGCGGGCTGCATCACGCAAACTTCATCTTTCGTTCTCTCTCGCCTCCCTACCCCGGTCTCTCGTTTGATCCAGCACTTGCAAGTCAAGTTTCTGCCTGGTTCTACGGTACCCTGCAATCCCGAGCAAGCACCCACTCACCTTGCTCTGGCGACGAGACACAGAGACACCGCCCCCCCCAAAAGCCCAGACCACCCATTACAGGACACCACCGCCCGCGACCGCCTACCGCTATCGCTGGTCCAAACAAACATAGCCAGCCCAACTTACAAACAGCCACCCAGCCCTGCCGTACCCCTTGAGGAGACAGCCTCATTCAGCATCCTCCTGAGCCTCGCCCTTCCGACGACCTTCGGATCGATGCAATAGCAGTCTACTTTCAACACACGCACATCAGCTAAATACCTTATCCTCCGGCACCAAGCAAGCTTTGGGTGCCAACACCAGATACAAATCACTTATCAATCATGTCTACACTTCCTCCTGATCCGTACAAGGCCTTGGGTGTTTCCCCTGATGCCCAGCTCCCCGAGATCCGATCTGCCCACCGAAAGCTTGTCCTCAAATGCCATCCCGACAAGGTCCAGGACCCGACTCTGAAGGCTCAGAAGCAGGACGAGTTCCAACAAGTCCAACAAGCCTACGAACTCCTCAGCGACGAAAAGCAACGACAGAAATACGATGACCAGGTCCGACTTCACGAACTCCGCGAGCAGATGCGGGCCAAGGTCGCAAACTCATCATCAAGTCGCTCCGCCCCCTCATTCAAGTACGAAATCCGTACCAACGACCGCACGTACAAGACGACTTCGCCTAGCGCCAAGTCCTTTTCGTACTCGCGCTCCTACGAGGATACTGATCTTCGCGGCGCCGATATCTTCGAGGGTGTTCGCACCGTGAGAAGGGAGGCGTCGTATCAAGGCAAGCCCTCGAGGCGTGAAGAGAGGGAACGAGACCGTGACCGCGAGATCCGGGAACGAGAGAAGGAGCGTGAGCGCGAGCGTGAACGAAGAAAGAAGGCCGAAGACTCCATTCGACGTGCTGAAAAGGAAGCCAAGGAGGCTCGACGTGCCGAGAAGAAGCAGAAGGAGAAGGAGAAGGACAAGGAGCGCAAGCGGGAGTCTGAGGAGAAGAAGCGTCACGCGAAGCCATATATCGAGACGTATGATGACGAGGAGCCTGCTCCCAAGTCGGAGAAGAAGAAGTCGAGCAAGAAGCACGACCGTGATCGCTCCGCCCATCGGGAAGAGGCGCCCCCCGCGACAGATTCAGTGCCACCCCCGCCTATGCCCTCTATACCGACGGAACAATCGTATGAGGACAAGCAATCGGAGGCTCTGAAATATATCAACGCCTCGCGACAACAAAAAAAGAACCCATATACTCGCCATATGCAGCAGCCTCCAGCAGCTCCCACTCCCCCTCCTGTCGGGTCACCTTTTGTTCCCCCGGCCACTCCGGATGATGATGTGCGCCGGTCAGCAGCGAAGCCCCGACGTGGATCCTCAGGCGAGAAGGCCTACAAGAAGAAGCCCTCGAAAGAGGTTCTCGATGACCCCGACGAGGTCGACGTCTCTCCCTCGGGTCGCCCACATGTGCAAAAGTCGGCCACCAGCACCGGCGTCTTGTCAGGCTCCCCTCCCCGACGGGCCGGCACAATGCCCAGCGAGGGGTATAGTGGTCGCCCGATTCCCAACTTGTCGCGAGCTTATACATCTACCGGATATCCCGAAGTGGATTCCCGTGGCCGAAACCGCTCTAAGATGCACCCTCAGATCATCGAGAGTGACTCCGAGGATGATTATGAGCGCCGCCGAAAAGAGCGCAAGCACCGCAGCAAGAAGCATCGGTCCCCCGAACCCCGTGGGGAGCATGTGACGCAGTATCGAGTTGATACTGCCAGCGGTCGAACGAGGCTACAAAACTCGTTCTCGCGCTCTGCTGAGCCCGAGACGGATGCATATGGGGGATATTATTCCCACTATGGGGAGCGTCCTTCGCTGTCCCGCGATGCCAGTTACGCGCACTCACCCGGCTACGCTCAGTACGACAAGTACAAGACGTCCAAGGCTTATGACTATGGCGACGTGCAGTACAGCTCGTACCCAACCTACCGCGAGGAGTATGCTCACCCGGCGGCGGCGTGAGCAGCACCATTTGTTTTCAACTACATTTCACGGCGTTTGAACGCGTGTATTCCATCATAACGGCTTTTATTACGATTCTGTCTATCGGCATTTGCATTCTTTGTTCTCTTCCTGGTTTCATACACTTACGAAACGACATGTGTCTTAACGAAATACGAAATTTACTTGCGGGTTGCACACTAGCACCTGCAAACGTGGGATGATATAAGGCGTGATGGGTTGTTGGTCATCTGCTCTGATGATTTCTTTGGCTTTTACGGTTTTGCTTTTTTGAGATTACGCTCCCGGCATCTGGATAAAGGACTGGATCACGGTACAAAGACCTGCTCGCGTGTTTGGAGACATTCATGAATATCAACATACACTATCTACAGGTTGTCGGCCCATGGGAACAGTTGATGCATCTGGTGTTGCTCGCTTTACGCACAAGGAGCGCAGATATACAGGCGGCATGCAAGGGGACGGGATCGTGTGAGGTTCCCGGTCTGAGATTTTCCTTGCTCTTTTTTTTTTCGACATTTGACGGCGTTGGGGATACCACACTCGCTTGGATGAGATTCTTTTTACTGAGTTGGAGGGAGATGGAGTCTCGACGAGCAGATAGAATGAGGCAGGCTTGCAACAGCCTGACCTGGTTATCAATGATGTCAAACCCGCTATCAAAGTCTGTTGCCTTTGTGACGTGTTGTCATTATATATAGTATAGAGACACGGAGACTGTTGCTCCGTAAATAGATTGTAAATACATGTTGCACACTAATATTGCTGTCCTTATTTCCCCTGACTTGTGATGTGTTTATCATGACGTGATATGACACTCGAATAACTTCTCTTGAGACTGAAGCATATGGAGGAGGGTTTGAGCTACTGGACGACAGTAAACTTACCCTGCCGGTAGGAGATAAGCTTAAACACACGTCCTCTCTTGGATCCAACTCCGGTCACATCTCTAGACCCGATCCATACCCAGCCTCGTCTATTTCGTAGTTGCATTTGTGGGAGTGGCTTGCAACGCCACCACAAGGCAGCCAGAGACTCAAAGAGAGAACAATACGGATAGCTGGCTGCTCACACCTCCTACGATCTTGATACCCAATAACGGATGCTTTAGAACCCAAACTTGCCTTTTCGACCAACTAGGAACCTCGGGGTTCCATAGCTGAGCCCGTCTGACCATGGAAATACCCTGTTTGTTTGCGTGGTCAAGTCTTAGGCCAGCTGAGATGGCGTTGCATGAGGCGTCTAGACCGAACGCCATCTTCCCACGCAACCAATACCGCCTCCCTCATCGTCCTCTATGCGGAAGACTGCGCCAAGGCAGAGGCGGCGCCCTGCACCATGAGCTGTCCCGGACGGCTGCGTTGCTGGAAAAAATGCACCCGCCTTCTCCTCCCGCAATCTCTCCTTTTGCATCCATGGGCCAGCAGCCTGCTGTGCTGCCGTTATGCCTCAACAAGAGTACGGGCTGGTGCCTCTCGGCTCTGAGCATCCTCCGTCTGCGAGGGGGCTGCCGTACCCTGAAGATCGAGGCACGGGGCAGGGAGAGGTGCCGTTTGACTATGATACTGCTTACACTGGTCAAGGCTGGCAGAGGGACCAACACGCATACAACACCGACTTCGACCCTGCCGATCGAAAATACGCGAGCCATGAATATGTGTCGGCTGCACATGACCAATTTGGTCCACCTAGCGGCGATACCCTGAGGAGGAACGCCAGGGAGCACGCCGAGGCGACTCGCAAGTCGCAGCTATCAAAGAGGAGATCAATGATATGGCATTTCGTCATTGACATGTTCTTGGCCGTCCCAGCCTTGGCATTTCTTCTCTATGCGGGAGCCGTCAGTCACTACGAAGGGAGACCGCTGAGGGAGAGCGGCTGGCGTACCGTCTCGACCCTGTACGACCTTGCCAAGTACGGACCTACCGTCTTCCCCATCGTGTTTGCTGCCATCGCGACAAACCTCTTGACCGCCGTTGCGGCATGGAAGCTCGAGCGCGGCATCTCTGTCCTCAGCCTTGAATACCTCCTCCGCAGCCGTACCACCTTTAGTGCCGTCACTTCACCCCTGGTCCTCAAGTCGGTCAACCTGATTACCCCCATCATAATCATCTTCTGGGCGCTCTCGCCGTTGGGAGGTCAGGCTGCGCTGCGGGTACTGGACACGGTGCCCAACGCGCACAAGCAGCCGTGGAACTGCAGTTATCTCGAGGTGCGTCCTGAGTTGCCTCCCCTCTACGGGGCCGACGGGTCGGTTGCCAACTCTACCGTCATTGCCACGTTTGCTGCCGCGCTTGCGACTCCGCCCGAGAGCAAGGAGGGTAAGCTGGACATATGGGGCAACGTCAAGATACCCATGATTGAGCCGTATCTTGGCGTCAACGTTGACAAGTGGTTCACTTTGAAGGATTCGTTTGACGTGTACTCGTCGTTGGTTGGACTGCCTGTCAAACCCCTGGAACCCTTCCACCCAGCCTTTAATTACACATTTAGAGTTAACACGTCGTACATAACTACAAGTTGCACGGCAAACAACCGCTCCATGGATCTGGACGGCTGGAGGGATTATGTTGACGAGCACCGCGACTTTTCCAATGGAAAGGGGCTCATCATCGAGACGTCGAATTCCGAAAAGTTAGGCACCAAGCCGAGACTGTTTCAAGTAACGTCGTATCAGCCGGGGAAGCTCACAAACGTCTTTTGCGAGCTGGGCACGACGTTTGTCGAGGTTGAGATTGAGTGCCACCACTCGCAGTGCGGTGCCGTGCGCATTCGGTACACTCCCGGCGCCAAGCCCAGCAACTTGACGTTTGTGGATGATTTGCAGGGCACGGCAAAGGGGAAGAGGATGGATCATGCTTTTTTGCAAGTGTTTGTTAATATGACGGAGCCGAGACGCAACGGGAGCTTTTACCTGCCGTCTCCCATGGAGTTGTACCTCTTTAGCTCCGACGAGCCGTACGCTGTCACGCCGACATGGGACAACGCATGGAATTCGGGATCGAAAAAGGATTGGGAGAGGGGGTACAAGATGTTTCCCAAGCGCTTCACGCAGTTGCTCAACACTTTTTGGATCGCCTCCCTAACGCCCCTCGGCGCGGCGCAGTACAACAAATTTGCCGCCCCGGGCGCAAAGCACGGAGCCGCGCCCGCGGGACTGACGGCATCGGGATACAAGACGAGTAACGAGCGGGTTCTCGCCGTGAATAAAGTGTGGCTGGCCATGCTATACGTTGCGTCACTGGCAATGTTTGTATCTGCTCTTGCAGCTGCTGCCTTGGGTGTGAAGAGACGAGGACCTGATATTTTGGACTATGCAACGACGTTTATACGGGATAATCCGTATTCGAGTGCATCTACGGGAGAGAACTCTATGGAGGATGGAGCGGATCGGACATATAGGCTTAGAAATGTGAGGTTATGCATAGGCGATGTCAAGCCAGATGCAGAGGAGGGATACGTAGCGTTGGCGACGGTTGACAAGGCCGTGCCGTTGGGAAAGCAGGGAAGTGATAGGCGTTACATGTGATTAATTAATTTAATTTTTTTTTTTTTTTCATGAAACGCGGCACGCGAGTTGACGTGTTTGACTTAATATGTTGAGAGTTGACGTGTATGTTGAGCGTGACGGGACTCGGCATGTTTGCAGCAACTTGTGATGGAGCCTGGCGGGAAGGTACAGAAAGGCGGTCTATCATGACCCACGAGAGAAAGAAGCGAGAGAGACGAAGCGAAGAGGGAGTTGAAGGGGGAGAGGAAGAGAAGAGAGGGCTTGAGACAGAAATTGAGGAAGAGGGAGGAGAGTGAGAAACGTCTATAAAAGACCCAAGTCCTCCCACTCCAAGTCTAACATCATCAACCATCACAACCATCACACACACACTCTCTTATATATACTCATTCACAAACACATTACCACAGACTTGGATCAATGCGTACGCAAGTGCTTCCAAGCTTTGCCCGTTCCTTGCCCTTCAACTTGACTTGTTGTTACCCCTCCCATCCCACTTGGCAGAACTCCAACTTGCAAGCTGGTCTAAGACTCATTGAACTGTCTCAGCTTTGTATGCCTGTTCATCCGACCTGTTTTCCTCGCTGAAGGTCGGCTGTCGTCTTCCTTCTTTGCTATTTTTCGGCCTCATACCGAAGCAAGAACCAGGAATCCCCACGCCACTTTCCCATCTTGGGGTCTGGCTCGAGTCTTTCACACTTCCTAAACACGAGAGAACAACCGTGATGGTAGAACCATCTGTTTTCCAGATCCACCATCCCAGTCACCGAGCATTCGGTGTTCTTTCGCCAACCCAGCGTGGCTTTCACCTTCACTCCCATGACTCTGTACCCCCAAGAGGATCTGGCTGCTCGTGTTCAGGCATGGCTAGATACCCAAGGCTATACCAATGGAGCTGTCTATCCCTTCTTAAGCACTTGGTGCCGTCTTTTGGTCCAGGGGATCAAAGCCAGCTCATCAGTTTGCGTGTTTCCTCCTCCTACGAGCAAACCGCACCCTATAAGTTTGGCCGCCGTCCTGGCTTGCTCGACAGGTCCTCAGCCATCTCTTGAACCGCGAAACAAAAGCAACTTCAATGGCATGGCAAGCGAAGATGTCATATTACAGGCAGCAAGTACGATGAACCCGCGGCCGAGACGAACATGTCGGGAGCCGAGATCAAACCCCTTCTGGGTTCCGGCTCGAGTTTGTTCTCAACACTTGGCGTGTATCCTAGTTGGTCTTGGATCCGATTCCACTCTGTAACCCAGCATCTGGGATACAGATTTCGGCTGTCGTCCGCCGGGCCTGCTTTCGTGCCAGACTCTTGCCTTTCCTTGGAGTCCGATCCCCCGAACCTGTTTCACAACAGAAGCGCGTATTGAAACGCGGAGAAGCCAGCCATGACCTTTACTCGTTGCGTGCCGTTCTTCATCCTCGCCAGTTCCTTATCCAACAGCGCAAGAGATACATACCCTCGCCTTCTGCTTTGTCTTGTTTCTCTTGGCTTCTTGGTTCGTTTGACGAATTCATCACCAAAGCCTTCCCCAGCAAACCTCCGAAGACTGGGTCTTGGACTTGCCCGCATGCAACCAACAACTTGGTCACAAGTTTTGAACGAGCCTGGACATGACAAGGCATGTCTCTGCGCGTCAAGCTTCGGCAGCCTAGAGTTGTTTTCATAACCTCTGCCTTGAGCTTCCCCAATTCGAGCCGCACGTTCCTAGTCCATTTCCCAACCAATACAACCTGGCTGTCTGGCCCTGGCTGTCTGCCCAGGCTATTCCTCATGCATCCTCAACTATCTGTACCTCTCAGGCTTGGCAGAAACCACTGCAATCATTGCCCCAACACGCCCAGCGGCAGACACGCCAGACATGCCATACGTCAAGTATGCTTCTCGTCCAGAAACTCTTGCAATGAAGCAAGATCCTGGGGCCAAACATCAACGCCGTAGAGTCGTTGCCCGTCTACACACTTTCAGTCAACACACACGAGAATCACACACAATCGTTTGCCCATCATCACGCATAATCGTTCCCCCAATTCGTTCCCCGTCCCAAAAGTACCCGGATCTGCAAGGTCCAGTGGGAGGGTTACCCAGCCGTGAGATTGGACTGCAGCTTGGAAACGAGACACGAGGCAACCTACACATACGAGCCCTGTGTCTTCATTCCATTTTGCCCATGCCAGACAAGGCAAGCATCACCACTGAAAGAGCTGTCGTCGGTCACCGTGTCCTGGACCATGGATTAAGTATCACCGTCTATGAAGCTAGGCGGAATGCTATCCTCTTTGGCTGCACACAGCTAGCACGCTCCAAGGAGTGTTTCTTTCGTCTAGCTGAGACTAGACATGTACCCGTGCCTTTCGGCTTCATGCTACAACAAAATTGTCTGGATCTTGTTTACGAAGACTACCTCGACCGGTCCTAGCACTCACCCGGTGCTGCGTCGACGCTGGACAGGGATCACAGAGCGTTTCTTCTGTCTCTTCTTGTGGTCTTCTACAATAGCGACTCCCGAGCCGTTCAACAAACATTGTGCGCCTCGTGGGTTGCTACCAATCTGGGACGCCCCTATTCAACGCGATGACTGCCACATTGATTCCGTCCGATGTTCTGGAAATGCTGCCGAGGAACACCATTTCCATGAACCGTGTTCGCATGCTATCTTTTTTCGGTTTCCTTTCAGGGGAACAAAAGAGAGTTATGCCGGTCTCCCTACACACAAACGTCCAATTCCCAAGATCCTGAGAACGCCAGACCTGAGCCAGAGGACTCCCATGTCAGATCTACACCCACCTCAGTTGTCCATCCAGGTTTGGTGTGTGGAACCTCGAAACGAGTTTGGACTGAACTCGTGACTCCTGCAGAGACTGATGTTCAAGTTGTCTTGGACTTGACACGGATGCCTTCAGAGCCGTTGTTTTGGGGCCCTGGTCAGACGTGTCATGGCCCATCAGACAGTCCCGAGCTTCTCAGGCTTCTCGGTTGTCAGTCCCAGTCCCCTAACATTACATTACATCTTGCGTCTCGTCCAGTACACACCCAAAAGAACAGACGAAGCACGATTGTCATGGCGGACAGAGATGCCAATGTGGGCAGGCATAGACACCTCGAGAAACCTGCAAGTCTCGAGGCCATCGGTGAGATCAATGCCCTTGGTTCGGTCCTCCGGAACTGGAGCCCGACAGTAGGGGTTCACTCACAGCAGAGTGCATCTACAACGACGATTTCAAGGCCCTTGTGGCTCCGGCCTGAAGGAGTTCCTGAGTGGGAATGCCTCTTCTGTTTCCGCCGATTCTTCTCAATCTGCCTATATATAATCAACCAACACACCGTATTCATGAACAGGTACTTGAACGGTACCCTGAGCTGTTTGCCACGCTGGGAGCGTGATGCAGATCGGATTCTGGCATCCCACTTGAAGACACGGAGAGAAACGATTCGTCCACGAGTTTTGGTCGTGTCTGGCAGCGGCGGTCCTTGGATCATGACAGTACCGCCAGATCTTTGGCTCCCTGCTCGGCGTATCTCCCTTGATCGCAAACATTGCGAATTCACAACAACGAGTTCTCCCAAAACGCGGAAATACTTAAACCTGGCACCCTCACACAAGAGCGCTACTTCCTAGCCCTCCATCGCTTCTCAATCGCCGGACGGGCTGTCTGATGACCTCTCGGGAGGGATATCGACGAGTTTCGTATTTCTATCGACACGCTTCTCGAGTAGGACGGCCACCCTTGAGACCCTCGAGATTGGGTTGAAGATGGAGGTTGGCATGTCTGATCCTGGCCCTTTGGGGGAGAGGACCCCGAAACACTCACAACCATCAAGAGATGGCTTCTGTCGGATGAAGTCCACCTGCTTTGTAGCTGATTGCTACCAAACATCTTTCAACTGTTTTGCCCACCCTGCGCCTGTCCATGCGATCCAGCGATCAGTTCCAACTCAAACCGCCGCATCGCCTACACTGACTGATATCTCGAATGGTATGGGATATCCAGTCGGCTCAGGTCTCGGTGTTCCCTTTTGCAACGCTGGGCTTTGACCTTCACTGAACCCATCGCCGTTATTTCCCCTCGGTCAATACCATTGAATCCCTTGGCCTCCTCAATTCTTGCTCGCACAGCAACTCAAAGTGCTCCGAGTTCTTCCGCCTTCTGCCAGAATCGTCTTGTAAGAAGAAACCTCTTCGGGTGTTCAAAGATGTCCCAGAGGGATGTGTCACAATTGGAACACCCCGAGAATGGTCCAGTCGGCTCTTTTGTGCGCCCCATCAGATGAGGCCCTCATCAACATGATGAGGATCGGCCTCCTGGCACGGAATTCACTGCCGCTTTACCAACTTTGGCGAGCAGAAAGCTCACAATCCTTGGGCTGTTTTTGCAGGCTGAGCAAGTTGGCAAGGTGGCATGGATCTCAGATGTCAACCTCACCGACTATGAGATAGCGGAGCGAACCACCCAAAGAATGGTGTTTCCTGTCGGTTGGTTTTACATTATTCGGACTGCAAGAGGAACAAGAGAAGGTTTCATGCAACCTTTTGCTCCCAGCGAACATTGCTTTCTACCTTAGCACATCCTCGGCTTTTGGCCAGCAACCCGTCGACCTCACTGTACTGGCTGTCACAACAACGGAAGAGCTAAACTAGCTGAAGGCCAGGTTCCAGCCAACGTATTATACATCGCCAAACCAGGAGATCCAGCTGACTGCGGTCCATGACATGAAGGCGGGGGATGGAGGCTCTGAAGGAGCGGAGCCTTCTCCAATGTCGAACTTTACCGAGTCAATCGGTGCTTGAAGTTTGTTGTCGAAATACTGTCGTCCTTCATCATTCCCCACACATCTGACTCTTTGTGATCCCTGGTGACAGACACTGTGGATCAATGCTGACGAGTGTCGAATACAAGTGGGAGACCATGGAGCAGGATACTGGCCCCGGGATGGTCTTCCACTCTGAACCAACCCTCACCACATACACCCATCATAAGTGTCACGACTCGACTCTTGTTCTTGAAGCTTCACCCATGTCATAGTGTCCCATCAGAAGGGCGATGTGATGGGACAGAAGGAAAGGAAGATTGAGTTGGACGTCTGGTACTTCTTGACGAAGCTGAGAGCGAACTATGTGACGACTGATGAGCGTCGTCTCTTGTTGGAGTCTGTTGCACATTCTTCAACTGGTTCACTCCACTCGTCTGCTGCAATGACCCAAAGACAAACTATCGTCTGGCCATACACGCAGAACCAGATACCAGGACGAACAGCAGGCCAGCCGCCCAGACTTTGTTTGAGCAAATGGTGGCTATGATCGTCATCTTCATCTACGACATGCTTTAGCTGGTTGTACGTAAATCTATGCCAACAGGGCTGTGTTGGCAGTCCAACGGATTGCTTCAGCCTTGAGCCCTGGTCTTCTCCTGTGTCGAGAACTACCCATATAAACCAACCTTGAAGTCAAACATCCCCCGGCTTCATCTTTTCCTAGACACCATAAGCTGGCCCGTCAGTGAGGGGGTGGATTGGTACCACGTCTACGAGGCACCCAAAATCTATCCTCGGCCGACCGAGCACCCATTTGCCCTGATTCGACGTCCCCTGACCGCCGCAGAGTACCTGACAAAGGTGGACATGATCAACGGCCCAACGACGCAATATGTCCTTTGCTCGATGGACGAAGATTGCAGCAACTGTTAAAGGACCCAGTCGAAACAAAGAGACCGACCCGATCGATGGGTACGCAGACGGGCTCTACTCGTCCCACGTCGATTCGACGACCATGAGCCAACAACCCCTCGAGAGAGAGAAGGAAATCTCAACGACAACTTGTTGAACTTTACCATGACTTTGCTACTCTATCGACTTCAGCTGTTCTCTCACTAGGACCTTCAACGTTGAGTGGCAGAAGGACTTTCGGAAGAGAAACCATTCCGCCTGCGTCCTTGAGGTCACAGAGACGTATGGCCCCCCCTTTAGTCGGGTACCATATTTATGGAGGGATTGTCAAACCTATTGACCAACCCCTCAATTCATCCCTTATGCCGACCAGTGGCTTACCCAAAGGCATGAGGCCATGGGTCATTACCATCATGGTCAATGTCTCGCCAGAATTCAACGAGAGATGACGACGACGCGTTCGAGCTATGGGACCAAGACTGCAAGCCCCTGAAAACAAGGTTGTTCGCTGTCAAGAACTCGTAGACTGGCTGCTTACCAAGGCCGTTCTGCTTCATCCAAGGCAAAGGCCAAATACGCCGTTGGACGTGTTCCACTCTATTTCCAACTAGGCTCTATCTGCTGCTGTTCGCCCTTTGCTTACCAGTACCATCTCGGCAAGGGTTGAAGCAGCCGGTCAATGCGGCCGACATGTTGGAAAATGCTCCAAAGATCGACCTCATGACTCGGGAGATTTCGCACCAATTCATCTTGGAGTTAGACGAGACTTACTGCTTTCCATCATGACTGTTTCCCGAAGCGCTGTGGCTCTTTTCTCTGCTGCTTTCCGCAAGGTTGAGACAGCAGAAGAGCTCAAAGTCGTGGCGCATCCGGCCTGTCAAAGACACCCCCTTTGATCCCCCATTGATCCCCCATTGATCACCCAGTTACTTCAAACTTTCTGCTACAAGCCTCCTAGCAGAGTCATGTTGTGCGACTTACTGCCCCCGACTGTGGACGACGTGAAAGAGAAGTTCGACTCAGCTCCGGAGGCAGATTTGCGAGATCTGAGAGATCTTCCGAAACACTTCTAGGAGACCGCGCAATGGTCTGAGCTTATCACCGTCATCAAAAAAAGTCGGGACACTCAAGGAGGAGAGCTGCCTTGGAATGCGATGCCGGTTGGTGTCGCTTATCATCCTTTTGGCGTTGCGCAGAACAGCCAACACCAGCACTTCATTTCCTTTTTTCACCAAGCCTTGTCACTGCTTCAAAGACACTCTCGCGTTTCAGAACACTGATAGTTTTGACTTGCTATCTGCCCTGTCTGCGACCATTGCAGCAAAAGTCCACGTCTCGAGAAAACTTCAAAGGCGGTCGACCAACACATCCAACAGTTTGTCACATCCAGCCACGCAGACAGCCAAGGAGCTATGCCAGCCAACTCGGCCGGTGAAGGCTCACGTCCAAGGGATCATCGAGAGCGAAAATGATGATGTTCCCCGTGTACACAGCAGAAAAGGAATGTCCTCAGCAGAGGAGGGATATCGCACTAGCCCAGAATCTCAGCAAGAGGGTAAGGAGTGCAGAGCCCAAGGTTGCAACCGCAAAGCCAAGGGTCGAAATCACAGAGCCCAAGGTCCAGAGCGGACCGATAATCCCACGACCCCTAACGGCAGATAACCTCCATCTTTGAGACGCTCACAGACGCCCAAAGTATGCCAATGTTGTCAGTCGGCCAGTGTAACACAACTACGCCCTGAAGAATTAGTCACCATTCACCAGGCCTGGCCTTTGAATCAGTCTTCCCCGGGTAGAGCGCGAATGGATGATGAGTCCAGATTTACACCTTCAACTTTTTGTCCTCGTAGCATCTTCAAACGAAAGTCTACTGCCACTTGCCGAGGCCAAGATGCAACACAGGAGTCTGAAGCTCAAACACTTGATCGAGTTTCAACATCTTGGCCAACAGGCGTTCCCAAGGGAACAACTTTCGGCCTCAGAGGTATGAACTCAGGGTTGTGACGCTGTGATCACGATCCAGACCGACCCGAATGTTCGGCGACTACCAAGCTACCCTCGTTTACCCCATGGAGCTCCTCAGTCTCATCTCAATGAACCCGGGGATCAACTCATTGGCGACTCATGTGGGTGTCCCAAACTGAGCCATCCTCCGAAAAGGATTGTACATGTTGCCTGCTGGGATGAGGCACATCCTACCTGACCCTACGAAGGGGTGGTTTGCCATACTCGTGGCAAGCGTGGGCGACATCGCATACCAGGGCCCATACTGAGATCAGCTCAGCTATCTCGACCTGTACACTTTTGAGAAGCTCTTTCTCGATTATGTCTCGGTCTTAACAACATACTTTGCTTCCAGCATCTTTCAACGCCACTCTGACAGAGTGACATACAGCGCACAGCATCTCCCAGGCTTCTTCCAGGGAATCCCAACCTGCACTCAGTGTTTGGTCTTGACCATCTAATCCCCTACATTGCTGCGCTCTACCTTGGATGGATTCTGCTCAAGGGTTTTGGAGTGCAAGGCATTCAGTGTACACTCGATAGACGACTGTTCATATCGCAAGATTACGATCATGTCTATCTCTCCATTGCCGAGTTTGATGATGAGTATGTACAGTATGTCAGAGGTTCTGTCGATGAACCCAAGGACGGCGAGCCCAAGGGCGGCACCAGATGGCTACCATTTTTCGGAACACCACAAAAACCGAAAAGATGAGGCCTTCCTGGTCTATGGGGATCCGAACCTATGATCGAGGGCTTCTCCTCCTCGCACACATGTAAAGCTCTTGCTAGGGCTAGGGTCAGGGCAGATAGCCTCTTTGACACGCTCACAGACGAGAAGAGGTGGCTTCAGTCAGATGAAGTCTACTTTCTTTATAGCGTTAATGCCGCAAAAGAAACATTCTCGCCTGTCAAACTGCTTGAAGCGCAGGGTCTTCTTGATGTGGCCGATACAGAGGAAATAACAGCGTAAAACCCCAAGGCGAGCCAGATGCGCAACATATTATCCGAGGGCACTAAACTTGTCTTCATTTGCCCATTCTCGTCACATTGGACAGTTTCCACTGGGTATCTTGTTCGGAAACTCCTGGAAAGCGCTTGAGTCGTGCCCAGAAACGAGCAAGGTGCGCGAGGCGGTTGGGCGTTCCCAGAGAGGGAGCCGCCAATACATCAATGATGTGACACACCGCTTGGTGAAGCCAAAGTTTCTCAAGGCTCAGCGTGGGAAGGTGATGGCGCGATTCACCAACTTGCACTATTTGTACCTTTTACTAGATCCTTTTCGCCCTCATCCGACGCGGCTCCAAGACGGACACAGGGGCAACCTACCATGGGGACTGGGATGACCCAAGCATTGTCAGACTCTTGCCTGCTAGCTATAAAGAGCCTTTTCAGGACTCTTTTCTCGCAACCCCTCTCAGAAGGCGCTCGGGTCGTGTCCCGATGTTCAGTGAGGCCAGCGAGGCGGGTGAGGAAACATCGACTTGGGAAGATACCGAGACCTGCTCATAGCTGGGAGTAAACCACAAGGCCCGGCAAGGCCAAAACCACAGACGGAGGCTCACCAAAGAAGAACCTTGACGGCCCGGCGGCGTTGGTTGTTATCTACAATGCCAGAGTCAAAGCACCAAACATCTCGTTGAACCTTCAACATGCAACATGCACATTGGACGTCAAAATGGCGCATCTCCTAGAATCAATCGCAGCCAAGACGACCTACCCCAGACATCTGAGGAGCCCCACGTTTCGGACTATGATGAAGTCGTGTATATTCACCAGGCGGTGGTGAATATGCCCTGGGCCGAGGCCACCGGCGGCGTGACGGTGACCTGGCGCCACTGGGATTGAGTGACTCGAATGCTCCCAATTTCTCCATTCGCACGCTCTCTTCTTGATTTGCGAACACCTTCTTCCCCATCAGCGAAGAGAACATCGATGACGAATCGGCCAACACCCATTACCAACACCCATTATCTGGGCGCCATCACATTTACGGCATTCCCCCTCTGGGGAATCACCCTCTGTAAGACGATCCAAGTGAACTCGGGGTCCTCATGGTCGTCATTCCGACTCCAACGACTAACTTCCGAGTTCGGGTCAACCATGCTTGCGGATACATGTTCACGCGGGGAGATGGCGAGCAATCTATGCGGCTCTCCTTTGGGCATCCGACAGCGTCATCCACCCTCCACTGCCGAATGGAGAATAGGCGTGAAGATGAGAGTCGAGGCCGATGTGCGCCTCGCGACGGTTAGACGGAGGACACCAGACAACACTGAGTAGTCTAGTCCAGGAGTTACAGCTCAGTCAGGGGGCTGCATGAGACAGAGACAGAGAGTGACTTGTCGCAGATCAACCAGATGGCGGAGGAACTCAACGCACAGAGTCCCCACAAGTCACTGCTCATGGACAGAACCACGCCGCGAAAGAAGGCCATGTCCCCCTATGTACACAACAACTTCTCCGACGAGCAAGCAAGCAGCCAGCGCAACAAGTTGGTCTCGTTTTCGAGTCCCCAAGATCGAGACTGCGAACCAACAAGCACACTTGGATCACCGAAGGCGAAGTCGGCGCAGCGCCTGAACACTTCAGCACCTTAGCCAAGTCACTTGATCAAGTATGGAATGGTCTTGGGTGGTTGCCCCCCGAAGTTTGCGGAACATGCTCTTGTTGACAATGCTCCACAACCGCAAGATGATCGATATAAGAGGGGACAGTACAAGATGGGAAAGAAATATCTCGAGGAGATCGAGGAACAGCGACATGACTTTGAGTGATAGAAGAACGGGTTGCCGAAACAAGGTCGGTTGTCGATATCATATGGGCAAGGACTCGAGCAGGGCTCTAGCCCGCCATTCTCCAAAAGAGAGCATTAGCCACAACAGCAAAAGACATAGTTCAAACTAAAGAAACATAGTCTAGATAGATATTTAATGGACTTGATATAAACCTCGACTAAGCTGCGCAAAATTGTAGTGACACTTGACCCTCCATTCTCTTCAAAACATCAATCCTCTTTCAGTAACTGACTTATCCCCCAGACCCATCACCTCTTCTTACGCATTGTGCGTACACGCTCGTGTAAAGATTCTAGATACAGCCGTTATATACACCCTCTAACCCCCCCCTGGTAAAGAACCTCATCGTGGTAGGCGTTATACATGAATCGATTCACTTTTGCCGTTGGCAAAGAACCATACACTATCGATACTTAGTCAGTCACCGCCTCTAGGCCACCAAGCAAAGAACTCACATTCCGTGAATCTATCCTCCAAGCCGTCCTGGAAAACTTCCTCTATGTCCCTGTCTACGGGACCTCCACCGGTCAGGAAAAGGAACCGGCAATACTTCAAATACATCCAGAACCTGTGACACGGCAGGTTCATGTACTCTTCCGTAAGCAGCAGACGATTCCGATGTCGGATGGTCTCATCAACTCCCTGGCTCCAAACGTCAATCTTGATGCGCAACTTGAGCATGAGCTCGGACTGGGTTGTGTCGTAGAACACAGTCCTCCAGGTCCCACCTACAGTTCCAGTTTTAGTGTCGCCCGGCCAGTAGACTGTGAAGGGCGCCTCACCTAATTTTTCGTATGGCTTCATGACTTTTGGAAACGGAGCCTGGTAAGCTTCTGGGCCGAGTATCATACCGTACAAGGCTCGTCTAGACTCGATATTCCGATCCTGGAGACTCTTCATACCACGTACCGGTGTAGCCGGCAGCTGCATGTACACAAGCCTCTTGTCCCATCCCATCGTCTTCATGAAAGCCTCTAGGTTGCTGAGGTACTTGAGGCGATCCTGATCGATCTCTCCCTGAAAAATCTTGCCGGCGGTGCAATCGTCAGCCAGCCACCAGCCCAGTGTCTTTAAAAATGCGTCTTGCGATCCGAAAGCAATTCTAGAGCAGGAGTAGCAGTTGTCCAGTAGAACACCATTGATCATCTGAACATGCCGTGTCTCGAGCGGGAAGAACTTGAAGAAGAATCTATCGTCCTTGCAATATTGTCCACTCCAACCGGGCTTGGGCACACACTCCCCGTTGATAACGTCGATGTTGCTATTCCTAGCCTTTGTAACGGGCAGATCTTGCAGCATGGATTCTGTCCCAGGACCACACAAGATGTCATAGATCTCCTTTCGCATAAGCTTGCGCCATTCCCGCACAACCGGATTCTTGTCCTCCTCCGGCACTGGCAGGCAGATGGAGCGAAGGACAATGATCAGACGCGGAGAGAGAGGCGCAAACTCGTGGAAGCTGGCATGTCCTGAGCACGCCCGTTCCCCGGTATCCACATCCTCCATGAACATGTTGGGGCCCTCAAAAATGTTGTAACAGTTGTCAGAGAGGATAAACTCCTCATCCGGGTTGGCCGGAGTGCATATGGCCATATAGAAGGAGTCGATATGCGAGATGAGCCAACCCGCATCGGCATAAAACATTCGGCTCCAGATAGTCGTCTCCCATGTCGAGTCCGTGCCCAGATCAAGCTCCATGATGGTCTCGAGGTTATGGAACCAGACATCGAGTGGTGTCTTGAATCCACGCATTTCCATGTAGTCCTGAAGTAGCTTCTTGTCGGGTCTATCGTAGTTCTCTAGATCACTGTGATAGAAGCGTCGGTGAAAGTCTGAGCCGCGATACTTGAGCAAGAAGAAGAACTTGCGCAGGAGATTTCGCTCGGTCCGCGACAGCCATACATCTGGCTGCCCCTTTCCATAGGCCGTAGTGATCCTGCGAAAGATCTTGCTAGCCTCAAACTCCATCTTTCCAAGCATCTCCTCAATGCGGCGATGCTTCTTGTCTGGCGAAGTTGTCATGTATTCGTACATGTCCAGCTGCCCAAACACGCGGGCCACTGGCGTCTCCTTCAGTGTGTAGGGCTCGGCCGTGAGGCAAAGGTTGCTGACGACGGGATCGCCTGGGTACTTGCCCTTCTCGTGCTTGTGTTTCTTGCATTTCTTGGAAGAACCTTTGGCTTGTGGACAAACAAATGGATGTGAGTAGTTCCTGAGGAGGAATTGGGGGATGAAGTGCTGGTATTCTTTGTTGGCGGACGACATTTTGCAACTATAAGTGATTCAACTCATGTAGATGATGAAAGATCCAAGTTCTGAAGCCCAGAGAAATATTTCGAAGAGAAAGGCGTTCATCTTTTACCATCTTGGACGGAATTGCAGCAGAAACCGACTGATCAGGCTCTGGGAGGCCGACCACCAGTGGCGTTGAGCCAACTCATGAGACCATATGCAAAGCGCTTCTGGATGTGCCAATCACGACCTGAGTTGAAGAATGTTGCAGATCTCCTCTTGGCAGTGGCCCCCAAGTCTTTCGTTGCCGGCCTCTTTGAGAATGGATAAATGCCTTGGCCTGTCGCACGAAGTATTCACGACTTTTCTTCTTCTTCTTCATCAAACAATAATCACAACCTTCCAACACCCACATTCCTTTTTTCCTTTGTCTTTCATTCTTGTATTACTCTACAATTCCTTCTCTACTCTATTCTTCTCAGTCTTTACTTAATTAATCCAGGGCCTGATCCCGCTCGCCCACCCGTCTGCGAGCGGGATCAGACCCTCCCCACCACCTCTCACCCCTAACACCACCGGAGGCAGCTCCAGCCTTCGACATCATCCCCGCGATCTCATTCGTGCATGATGATGATAGGGTGAGAGGTGGGTGCCCCCACGAATGAGAGTGCGAGGAGTTCGAAGGCTGGAGCTGTCTCCGGTGGTGTTAGCAACTTATAACAATAACCATATAGCATACACCACCGAAACCCCTTTCTCTACCGCCGGCGGTACGAGTTTGGGGCGTTACTTTGAGAGTTTGCTCTTCCAGAGCCACCGTAAGTCTCTGAACGAAGATGGCCAGTGTTTGTCTAATACAGGTTTGCAAACAGGCCGTCGAGTGTCGAACTACTTCAGGGTGTTTGCAGGCCGGTGACTTGGTACAGTTTCTTTGTTTCCTACTCGGTTGTTGCACAAAATCATCAGCGACGGGTGCCTTGCAGGAAATCGATGAATTGGCCTAGGTCCACGGAGTGCAGATGCCCTGAGCTACAAGATCAGCCAGCCGTGAGCAAAGATGAGCAACCATGGATTGTTCGCCGCCGGTCCCTCCATTTCTGGTAACCATACAATCATCAATCCTATCTTGTGAAGGCTGCAAGATATCTGACTTTAGCATACAGTCAGAATGTCCGACCTAGATAAGTCGGAAAAAGGTCCCAAATCTTGGAGGGACCAACTAGTCGAAACAACAAAGCTTCCAACTCACAACTCACAACTAAACAAACACTACAAAGCTCGACGAGGCTTCTCGTCCTCAACGCAAACTCAGGATGGACGATCCCGAGGCAGACTACTACGAGTCGCTCCTCAACGACGCACTCAACGGACTTGAGTTTGAAGTCATGGTGGAGAGACTACTAGACACAAACAGCGACGTGAATGACGCAGAATCCGCCGACACACAGCTGGGAAACTATATTCCAGATGAAACCGACAAGTTGAACGCCCTTTATCCTGATCTAGACCCGCAGCTGTTCAACTGTACCACTCAACTCCCGATCACAGACATTGACTGTACACCACACCACCAGACCTGGCATCCAGACACGATGCCCACACCAACCGAATATTCGCCAAGTGCTACGCTAAACTCTTCGAGCGTCACCGACCAGTCGCCCGGCTTCTCCTCAGCGTACACCACTTCGCCACTATCAACAAACTGCAGCCCGCGAGAGCAATTGCTCCCGCCGACCCTTGGTCCGACAACAAAACCAACACCTACCGACGCTTCTCCACCCAAGAAGAAGCGTCAACAAAGACGACGGACCAAGGCAAACCCCGGCAACCGCGCCTGTGATAAAAAGTAGGACGCCTCGGTGTCTCCTAAAGCCTTGCTAACAACCCACACAGGAAGAGAGATCGAAAGAACAACAAGAACGTTCAGTGCATGTTCTGTCCCAAAATGGTCTCAGATAACCGAGACAGGACAAGACACCACAGGGCGAAGCATCGTGAGGAGGCTGCCAAGATAGGGGTTGATATGAGAAGGTTTCCTTGCAAGTATTGTTCAGAGGATTTTGCCAGAGTCGATCATGCGAAGCGACATATGGACACCCAGCATGGGGTGAAATGATTTCTAGGGGCATTGGAGTCCCGTTCTATCTTTACCTTGTTTTGTTTCTTTCCTTTGTATCTAGGTAATAAAGTGTGTTTTATCATGATACTGGTGAGACTCAATTGTGAATTGAGAGCAAGCAGTGTGTTCAAAGGGGGTCGAGGCAGACACAAAGCAAGGACAAGGCAACCAGCCATTCAACACAAACAAGATCTCTTTCCCGGTAAACAAAAAGAGGGAAGGATCACGAGTGCATAGCAAACAGACTCGTGAGGTCTCTCGCAGGATGCAGGATAGGCAAAAAGAATCTCCGGTACAGGGAATCGAACCCTGGGCTCCGCGGTGCTATTCCCTCAGGTTATGAGAGCGCGAAATGTTAGCCACTACACCATACCGGATAGTGTGCTTGTTGCTGAAAGAGGTTCCCAGACTTGGTACTATGATCGCAGGGGGTCAGACTTAGACAGAAGACATGCCCTTCTCATGACATGCAGAGTCATTTACACTATCGATACCCTTGATTGTCTTCTTTTCTCATGATTGATTTAGAATTATTCCTCGTTTTATTCACAGGTGGTCCCTTTACTACGGCGTTTGATAACCCGATGTTGTTAGTGACAGTACCCAAGTTACCCGGCAACGCGAGGTGCATATCAAGTCACTACTCTCCTCTGCTTCACACAACGACGAAACTCAGCAATAGCTCATGTCTAGGTGAACTATTGTGCCTGCATTTTTTGAATTTGTTTGGTTCTGCTCTTTGCCCTCCGTTTGCACTCGAGCCCTGATTTCGCACAATTTGGATGTGACTGCTGAGGGGAAGTGAACTTGATCAAGCACCACGAACATCTCACTCCGACCTCGCTCCTGATCACGGACCACAACCTCACGCACCGCTGCCCGAGGAGTAGAGCCTAATCATCACTCACACTGCTGTCGTCGCTCATAGGTATGCACCTTTCTTTGTTCCTACTGCTTTCCCCGGCTCACCAAACTCCAGGCTCCAGACAGGCAGCTCAGAGTTCACCACCGAGACTCTCACTCACCTACCCACCACCTGCTCGCCTCTCGACTATGTCTTCAACAGAGGAGGTCACGGATCCGCCTGAAGGCTACTTTGTAGCTGAATGCCCGAACCTTGCAGAGATCAACACCCTCTCCTGCCCCTACATCGGCTGCGACGGCTTCGTGTTCCACTCCGCCGAAGAATGCTAGAAGCATCAGAAGAGATGGCACGAAGGCCAGTATGCCTGCGGTCAGTGCAAGGCCGTCTTTGCGTCCGCTCCTCCCCTCGAAAGACACGGTCGTGACAGTGGGCATGCAATCGAGTGGTATTGCGACGATGAGGAGTGTGAAATGGCTGGGACGCCTTTCGAGACCTACAGGATTTACCTTGAGCACTTTCGTCTGTCGCCAGCTCATCAGGACGATGCTGAATCTGAAGAAATCATCGATGCCCTAGGAAACACGGATGTTGTCGTGCCGAGCCAAGACCAACAGGACGACAACTCTCCTTCTCAGCTCGTCACCTCCGACATCTTTGCTTGCCGCGAGCCCTGCTGTCAGCGATATGGCTTCAACTTCCGATGCATATCCGAATACAATCGACACGCCAATGTTTCCTACCACATGTCAGCCGCTAAGCTCAACCAGGCCCTTGTCGACAGTATGCAACCTGGCCCAGCCCTGGCTGCCGAGCAAGAAGCCATACGAAACCTCAGATGCAACGCCCCTGGCTGCCTCTCGTACGAAGGCACGTTCTCAGGCTTCCAAGGCTTCTTTAGCCACATAACTGGGGCGGAGCACCGCCAGGCTTGGACAGTGGTCTCTGGAACCTGTTTCCTCGACGAGCATGAAAGCCCAACTCTCCCTGGGATAGTCTTTGATGCAGGAGGAGCAAGTGGGGAATGCGCGAACAAGAATTGCCCAAAGTACGGGACGTTTTTCAACTCTTTCTGGAAGCTGAAGCAACATGCTCACTCCTTCGCACATGCCACGACCGAAGAGGACATGGACTCTACAGATGAGTCTTCTCAAGAAGTATGGGTGAGCTCCGATTTGGAGGGCATCGAGGTCACCAAGAACAAGGCATTTTGGAGATGCGCTCAGAGAGGCTGCAGAATGTTTGGCAATGTTTACAACCACAGAAGTAACGCCAGATTACACACCACCTCGTTCTCGCATACTAGCGCCGAAGCGTTTCTAGGAGAAGTGTGGGTGAGCTCCGAGTTTGAGGGCATGGAAGTCAAGGGGATGGAATTCAAGGGCATGACACTATGGAAGTGCGTTAAGAGAGGCTGTAGAAGATACGGCAGCACCATGGCTCCATCCGGCAAGGCCAGGAAGCACGCCAACTCGGTCTCGCATACTACGGCCGATCCAGACGTGCCAATGTCACCCGAAATCCCTATGACTCCCTTCGCACACGCCACAGCTGCAGACGACATGGCCTCTTCGGACGAGTCCCATGAAGAAGTGCCATGGGTGAGCTCCGAGTTTGAGGGTATGGAAGTCAAGGGCATGGCATTTTGGAAGTGTGTCAAAAGAGGCTGCAGAAAATACGGCCAGACCATGACTCCATCCAACGACACCAGGAAGCACGCCAACTCGGTCTCGCATACTACAGCCGACCCAGACGTGCCGATGTCACCCGAAACCCCTACGACTCCATTCGCACACGCCACAGCTGCAGACGACATGGCCTCTTCGGACGAGTCCCATGAAGAAGTGCCATGGGTGAGCTCCGAGTTTGAGGGTATGGAAGTCAAGGGCATGGCATTTTGGAAGTGTGTCAAAAGAGGCTGCAGAAAATACGGCCAGACCATGACTCCATCCAACGACACCAGGAAGCACGCCAACTCGGTCTCGCATACTACAGCCGACCCAGACGTGCCGATGTCACCCGAAACCCCTACGACTCCATTCGCAACACCCAAGAGAGCACCAGAGGCCGCCTTTATGACTCCGATGAACCTCGATACCCCAGTTCCTGACACTCCATTGAGCCCTTCCGCTGGTCGAGGATCAAGCGCAGCCATGACGTTGGTGACTCCAACAAAGACTCCTACCTCGCTTCGAATGCCACCCTCCCGGGCCACGATCAAGCTCCGCAGAAGCTCCAACACATCATCCCAAGTCAAAAGACGTCAAGACGATCTTGAGCGCCGCAACCAGGAACTTGAAGATCGGGTCAAGCGACTGGAGGAGCAACTCGCGAGAGTCCTCAGCACTGGTAGCACACAGGAGGCGAAAAATGGAGGTGTTCACGAGCAAGCAAATGCTGATGAGGGAGGGAACAACAAGGTTGAGTATCTGTATCAATTTGTGCGTTCTTCTTTCCGACCCACTTGAGAGAGAGAAGATGCCGAGAGAGATCTGGACGGTAATGGATTGAACATGGTAGAATGTTTGAGTTTATGGAGACTGTACGAGTTGAGATGTGAACAAGGAACGATCAGAGGAGGAACACATTTGCTTTTCATGATAGCTGTCTAGGAACCAGGTTGATGTTTAGAAATTGTAACTATGTATTTGTGTAAACCGTGGTGGCCTAATGTTCAATGAAGCGCATTCGCAACTGAGACTTCAATGCCATAGCAGTGCTGAGCCGGGATCTCCTTGCATGGATTGATTTGCAGTCAATATTAAAAACACTGGGAATCACTTGGGGCCATGAATCGAATAGACCGTTTTCCCCCTGTCTGCCCACCGGCCCGTGAACGACCCTGTTGTCACTCAGGCCACATGACCTACCGTTCCTGCACGGCCCCCGGGTTCGCATCAGGATTGAGCTGGGATGATATGCCGGATTTCTCCACGTGGATGCCATGAGCAAGTTTAAACGGCCGTACAAACGCGAACGTATACTTACCCCTTTCGTCTATACCGTCTCGCCAGTGTCAACTTCATCCAGATACCGATAAGAGCAGTTCAACACTGCACGTAGATGCCCTCACAACTTAGAGAACCGTTTGTCAAATGCAATTCGGCTTCAGATCCGTTTCCTCTAATTCGAAAAGGCTGCATCATTTGGGGATATTTGAACTGCCATTCGATCTGGAGTGTCAAGACCGAAAAGGGAGAATGGCCGCAAACACCGTTTCCCTCGAGAGATGCCCTCGAGGCATTGACTCCATTCCCAACATGGAAAGAGAACCATTAAGACATTCCCTTTCGTTTGACATAGCAATTGTTCTGTATCATCCCCCTCTCTTCGAAAGTAAACGGTATCCCCAAACGATGGAGTGTGTAATACACCAAGAAGGGATGAATGGCATCAATGAAGATGGGATCACATAAATACTTTTTCCAACTTGAAGTCTTCGTGATCCCTTCTTCTCTCCTCTTCACCCTTTCCTACACTCGAGATCCCACAAATCTTCTCGAGCACTCTCCTTCACCTTCTCGGAACAACACTCCCTTCAACTATCAGACCCTACGATCCTACGAACTTCGATTCATCATGCCCGGTCTTCTCGGAACTCCCACTTTCGCGAAGATGTCCGTCGACGCCGTTGGGCGTCTTTGGCGACGTCTGAAGGACAAGAAGCAGGGTTCCAAGCAGGTCCTTGAACAGATTGTTGAGGAGGCTCTTGAGCAGGGCCCTACGGAGAGCCACGAGCAGGGCATTGAACAGGAGCAGCATACTTTCTACTCGGACAGTCTTGATACAATCGGGTACTCCTCCGTCAGTGACCCTGACACTCTTGCTTGTGTCGAGTTCGTTCAGGGATGGGTCAATGGCACTACTGGCACTTGTAAGTACCACCAATCATCAAGTTGGAGGACATTGAGCTGACAATTGTAACAGATGACTTCTTTGGTGCTTGGCGTCACCCCTCGGAGCCCTCTTCCATCGGTAAGTATCACTGGCTGTCGGAACAGCACGAGACAACTGACAGCCAGGAAGCTTCCTTTGATGACGAGGCCGATCTCTTCCGTAGCGTCAGCTATCGTAAGTGTTCAGTCTCACCAAGGTCGAGTGTACGCAATGCTAACATTGGCACAGGCTCCGATCTCGTCGAGCCTGCTGAGCACGTCGAGCCTGCTGAGCTCGCCGAGCCTGTTGTGCCCGTTGTGCCCATCGCACCCGTCAAGCCCGCCAAGCGCGGCATCAAGAACGCTTTCAAGAGCGTTAAGGCTGTCTTCAAGCAGCGCAACTCCTCCGATTAGACAAGATACAAGAACAACGTGTGGAAGGTAGAAGGGGATTCAGACACATGATTGAGAAAGGTTCATCGGGTTTCATTGCTTTGGCTGGGGATTCTATCACTGGTTTTCCCCCAAAGATGGCATTGTGCACCTGACACTGAGTCGTTGGTGTCTCTCCCACCATCTTTTTTCTTCATGTCCTAGTCCATGTCCGTCCAGGTCTTTTTCGTGGCTCGGCGTCGCCTGTTTATACGTTGTTCGTCATGTCGGTTTCGTTTAGAGGAAATCATCTGAGAAGGGAGTGGTATCAAAGATGGAGGATAGAGACGCAGTCGCGGAATAAACATCTCTGTCGTAACTTGTTCGCTCGTCGTGGCATGGCATTCGTTCACTGAATATCTCCCATGACAACCTCCTCGACCTTGTCTCCTCCCTCATTTTCCACAGGCGCATCTACAAAACCAAGGTCAGTCATCCACACCATGCAAACATTCCCAACACAAACTTACCCTTCATCTCAGCCTCTCCCTCGGCCTCTTGCTTCCTCTTCAAAGCATACCCCATCTTCTTCTCCAACTTGCGCGCCCTCTTGCCGCTGACCTTGGCCCTAGGTCCGCTCGTGGGGAGAAGTCCAGCCCTCGCGCCTCGTGTCGCATCCGCCTTTGCGATCTTGTCCTTGGGGGCGAGGGAACGCTTGCGCCGCTCCTTCTTGGCCTTGGAGGCGCGCGCAGCGAGGCGGTTCTTGGAGGGGCCGTTGGGGTTCTTGACGGACGGCATTTTGGTGGTCTTGACGGGGGTCAATGTCGAAGGAATTAGGAAGGATGTGGCGATGGAGATCTGCGATAAAGTTCGTTTTTCGGTCAAGAATCTCGGTGGGTTTTCGGTGAAGGACGCGCCAAGCCCCGCCAAGCGGGCATCTCGATGTTCCAGACGCCCATATCAGTGGGGCCACTGTCGAGGATGAGGATCACAGCAGACAAGTCATGAGTGTTCAATATTCAAAGCCCATTCAATATTACGCCTAATATGTAGCTCTAGATAGCATCTATTTTATACAGACTCCTTTCCCGTATCATTTTATCATCAGATTTCCAAAAGGTCGCGTTGTCGCATCATCATTTACACCCATCTCAGTCAGTCAATGTATAAGAGCCCTTGCCTTGACGTATCCTGAGTCCTTCAAACCTCTTCTTAGCTAAAGCTTCCTAGGTCTTTCATTCTTATTGAACACGGGTTTGGTGATTCCTTCCCATGGTGCTTCCGCTGTCTTCGCTGTTGGGTCCAAGCATTCGTCGACTGGGATCATCTTCGTCATCGCTCATGAGTCCATCCAGTTCAAACTCCTCAGCATCTCGGATCTGTCCATCCTCGACAGCTCGGCCGTTCGTATGTGTGTGATTGGTATCGAAATCCTTAGTGTTCAGCGGAGGGTGCGCAAGCCGGTCCCAAAGGTGGATGAGCATGTTGGAGAACAGGAACATCAGTGAGGCAAGCGAAAATGTGATGAGGATGTACGAGACGTGATCCATGCTAGAGCCGGCGACAAGGTTCATCTGCTCCTCGGTGGCTCCCATGAAAAGGAAGCCGGCAGCATACATGAGCTGGATATGTTAGTAGTTGCGCTTAGCCTTGGATATTGGCGACTTACAAATACGGGAATGAACTGGAAGCTGTTGGCAGATCGACCATCTTCCGAGATAGAGTGCGCATCCTTGAGAACAAAAGCAATCTCGATGATTCGAGTGAAGCCGACACCCATGAGGGTATATCCAAACATGGTATGCGTCGCAGCACTGACCATCAGGTCCTGCGGGTGGGCAGACATGGCCCAGCCAGTAATGAGGATCACGAATCCTGGGATGAAGTTGCGCTTGGGACGTCCATCACGATCCTTGCTCAGCCAAACACCAGCCAGACCGGCGCACCACCAGATGACGCCCATAGTCGTATGCTGCCAGTCATTCTTGACCCAAGGTCCACCCCAGCGGTGCTCGGTAAATGTATTGACGAAGCCCCATGCAGCTATCACGGCACTGTCGTAAAATTCCTGCGAGCGTCCGCGGCTTCGAATCCATAGCTGACCGACGAGAAGCAGGATGGTAAGGACAATTCCGTAGGCGATAAAGGCACCTCCCATGATGAAGTGAGCTGCGCATTGGCCGGTGTGTGAGCCCTGGCAGAAGCCCAGAGCTGTGATGCCGCCAAAGATCATCTGCGTCCACGCCAGAATAGGCATTGCCTTGCCAATGATGCCATGGCACGGGCGGACAATCTTTCGAATCTTTCCGTTGATACCCTTCTCCCAATGAAGCTTGAGATACACTCCAATGGAAACCTGCGCGACGAGGAGCAGCTGAAGGATGTGTGCGAACTTTCCGTGGACGTGGTTGGGGATGAATTGGCGGCCCTTGTGCGCGTGGCCGAGGAAGAAGCCAATAATGGCGAGGACGGTGCCAACGGCTTGGGTCGGGACATGCCATCGGTTTTTGGTCATCTAGAAGAAGTCAGCTTATTGTCATGTGTTGGCGTGCGGTCACCTACACCTAGAACCATGCCAATCGGAAAGATTACACCATAAGCCAACATCTGGACGAAGATGTGAATCCATAACACAGTATCCTGCTATCTGTTAGACTCAATCGCAACCAAGTGAACTGCAAGAAGCGTACCAAAGGTTCTACAGACACTGTCTGGCCTTCAGGGATTTTGCTTGTATCGTGCTCATGAGCTTGGGTAACAGCTCCAAAGAAAGCAATGACCAGCCCCAACGAGGGAGCTGTCATAGCTTTCGCCCTATAGCTAACAGCCATGATGGCGTCCAGTTTCTGTGTCGCGTTCTCAACTTCGCGATGGCTCTCCCAAGAAATTCGAACGTTGGCGACGCCGTTTCCGCCGTTTCCGTCGCAGCAACCGGCGGTGGGGGATCGTCACTGCAAAAAGAAGCGGCTATGACGGCACGAGGTGGGCGATATCGACAACAGAGACGGATGTACGATAAGCGAGCAGCTGGGGGGTTCGTTCAAGACAGAGCAATTCAACGACTGTCTGTAGATAGCAATGAAGCTCCTCTAGGGAGAATTGAAGAAAAGAAAAACAAACCGCGACAAGAAAAGGTTACACAGCGGGAAAAAAGGTTCAAGCCGCGCAACTGAAGCAAGCAAGCCACTGGCCCGCGAGGGCGTCATTCCGGAGGCTTCGGTAGACCCAAGAACCCGAGGGCAAGCTGTCCGCCATATTACACTGCGACGCTCCGTGATTGGTCCTTGGCGGTCCGGTGCATGGATGATTGGACCCTCTTGGGCATGGTTTATGCCACCAGAAACAAGCTGGGTCCGGGGCAAGCCCGGAAGCTTTTACCCCGCCAAGAAATGTGTTGATGCCATCGCCAACGTGCATCCGAGAGAGCCGCGCCGGAAGAATCTATCTATATGCGTAGTTCCGGCCGTGAAGCTTTTTGTTTAAATTTCTTGATTTCAAAGCCTTTCGTTCTTTCGTGAAAAGATCGTCCTCTTGTAATTACCCCCTCCCACTTCCCGTCGACCCGTCGGCTTGCGTGGCAGGAGGCTATACACCTTGGCTCCGGTGCTTAGCCTTGGCTTTTCACTGTCCTATTTCTTGTCCTCATTTCCCGGCTCCTTGTCCCAACAGGGTTTCACGAATATTGATTGCTTCTCCCGATGATCGCTGCATCATGGCCGTCATTCTCCTCGCCCTGCAGCTTGGCAGCTTGGGATATGACTGACTGACCAAAATGCTACACAATCACGTCCTCAACGAGGTTGACAATGAATCAATGACTTGACACAAAGCATGTCTAGGTACTTAATTGGTTCAATTATGAGTTGCGCTTTGCTTTACGCAAACACTCTGCACTCATCGATCCCTATTAACCAGAAGTTTCCTAACCTATCACAATGACTGTCATTCGCCGTGGAGAAGAGGCCGCAACCTCTGCCGCCACGGTTGTGGGGATATTTTTCTTGGCCTTCTTGCTATGTGTTGTTTACGTTTGCTTGGTCTTCGCGTTCAAGGTGTTCATGTCACACAGAAAACGCCGTTCAGCTCGTCACGAGCAAGAAGAGGACATGTCTAGGGGCAGATCCCGCTCCCTACGCAGTGTTCGAAGCAACTCGCCTTCTTGGCCTCGCCAGCCCGCTCAAGCTCACCTAGCGGCGAGAACTCAACATCAGACAGAGCCCGAAGCACCAAACGTCTAGGGTAGGGTCGACTCGACACAAACTTTCATAGATACATATAATCAGGACCTCAAGGCATGGCATATCGGGCGCGAAAGCAAGCAAAATAGACAGAGAGACTCGTGTCAAGAATGAATAGGATATTTATTGTTTGCCTTGAGCCTGTATCAAGTGATGCCCGATGTCCTGACCCTCACTCAGACGTGAATACTGCAAATCCCACCCCAACGCCAAACAAGAAACATCAGGCATGGAGCAAGTCCATCTGAGCCTATTTTCACCATTTAATTGTCTTTTGCCGCTTCCTTTTGCAAGACTTCCTTTGCCTTGGCCCAAAGCTCCGACTCCATATCCCTCTCCACCCTCGTGCCCCGACTGTTCAGCCAGCCCACGTCCAGGTTACCCACAGCTCCGGTTCCATTAGGCTTGAGCGATGCCTTAGGCGGTCCGTTGGGCTCCTGACGCTGAGGATTGGCCAGGTTGACGATACCCGCCTCCTCTAGGGCAAAGATCTGACGCTTCATCTTGACATCGATGGCGTGCAGCGTCGTGAGAAAAGAGTCGGTGGCAGAACGGAAGGCCTCCTTCTGTGCTGGGGGGTTCAATGATGGTTTGACCGCTTCTCCTGAAGGGTCTGTGTTCGGGGCGCCGTCAACTGAGGAGGGTGTTGTGAGGGCATTGAGAGCAGTAGCTATGTGGCTCATGAGTTGCACGGCGCTTTGGTCGATAGCGTTGAGTTGTTTGATGCTTTCTTCGACGGTGAATGGCTTTTGTGTGCTAGCCTCGCCGGAATCACCCATAACAACATCTGCCGGTGAAGCCATATTGTAAAGCGATTTTCTTTGACGTTTGATGACGGCCTAGACTGTGGTGCAAGGTGGTGCTGGGGTATGAATGTGAGAGTTGGTTCTGTTGATCCAGTCCCCGTGACGCAGGTGGGCGTTTATCCAGCGAAAGTGACAATGACCGTAAAAGACTCAATGGATGTTTAATGAGAAGCCAAGAAGAGTTCAAATCTAGTCATGCCCAGGTGCTGATGTATTTCGTCCTGTCAGTCTCTGATGGTCGACTTGAGCTTGAGCTTAAGGTGGAGGTCTCGCGTGTGCGAGCTCTCTCGCAGGCTCGGCGGTACGTACCGTGGTCTGTGCGCTTCCTCACGATGACTACAGACTGTTCAAGATGGCTGGAATAGGTAATTAACAGCAGTGTAGAAATAGGTGAAATTTCCAAATGTGAGAAATTTCCTGTTCAAGATTAGAATGATATCATATACAAAGTTCCTATCTGGTAGAAATCGTTAGGGGGGGTTGAGCTGTGGGTGTTAAGCTTACCGGGGTGAGTTCACCTCTCGCTTAATCCTCGGGTCAATGCGCTTCGCGCTTCTCCGTCGCGCTTCAGCCTGCCTTCCGTGTTCACCTTCAACCTCGAAGCATCACCTCAAACTCGGCTCTCCATCAACGCTGCCTGCGCGCATCTTCTATCATCTCTTCTTCAACCCTTTACTAAAAGGAGCTTCGAATCTTCATTCTCCGACTTCTCTACATCAAAATCGACGACTTGCGCCTGGTTCCGCTTCATCGCATCCTGTTGGACGCCGTGGGGCCAGGGTCACAACTCCAACCCGCACCTCATCTTATGAGATGAGCCATCTCTAGAGAATTCACCAGTTCTAGAGAGCTCATCCCGCGGGCGTACAGTTCTTATCCTCATATCCTCAATTACTCTTCATTCTCTCGCGCGACAAACAGCATGTCTGCGCCTGCTCAAACCCCTGGTGCGCCTGCGCCCGGCGCATATCAAGGGCCTGCGCCGACGACTCCCGCACCGGCTCACACAACAACCGGCACAACAGGGCAAACTGGCACCACTGGAGGAGCCATGTCCAATCAAAACCTCAACCAAATAGTAAGTTCATGTTTGTTTATGTGCCTTGGATTTGAGTTTGGGTTGTCCTGCATCATGTTTGGGCTATCGCCACCTCGATATACTTCACCGCCGCACATCCTTGACCACCACGGGAGGGACAGGAGTGAGTCGCCTTACTGTCGTGATTGCGATGTTTGCATTCACTCTTGATTGCTGATGACCCGCCTGATTGTCCTGTCACTGGGATTCTCATTGGGCCGCGAGCCGCAACGGTACTTTGACGCGATTCTGGATTGATCATGAGAGCATCGCTGCAAGAGTCGAAAGGGATATTCGGCACAGGCATTCAAACTTGGGAGGACAATTCGGTTCTCCTCCTCGGCTCATGTCATTCTTTCATTGAGCACACGGCCCGCTGTCTTGCTCATGTACCACAAGCTGGGTCCCAGGCTGACAGATGATGATGTATAGGTTACAGACTACTTGCTCAAGAGGGGCTTCAACAGGACCGAGGAGGTGTTTCGTCAGGAATCCAAGCATCTGGGTCCGGATGGTAAGCCCATCTACCAGCTGGCCAACCTCGGCCCAAAGAAGTATCAGAGAGCATTCAACCTTCTGCGGGAATGGGTTGAGAACAACCTGGACATTTACAAGGTAACATCGTTATCCACCTTTCACTTCTTAGTCACTGACAGCTCCAGTTTGAATTGTCAAAACTTCTCTGGCCAGTCTTTGTCTACTCTTTCCTGGAGCTCGTCAGCAATTCCTACACTGAGGATGCCAAGACTTTCCTCCGAGAAGTTGGACCTCATTTTCAACCTGTTCACGCAGATGACCTCAAGACATTTGCAACCGTTACACTACCCCAGCATGTCAATGAGAACCCCATGACCAAGCTCTATCGGGAGAACAAGTACCGAATCCCCCTAAACCAGCATGCCAGCGGGGATCTCTTCAACTTCCTGGAGCGCGAGTCCGATCAAGGTGGTTCTGTGATTAGACAACTACTTGCATCCTACTGCCAGGTTGACTCCACGGCCCGAGGACCGATCACACCATTCAGTTTCGAAGCAGTTTACCGGAGATCAAGGAATATGGAGATGGAGGACGTCGACACTAATGAGGGTATTCCTGGTGTCAACATTGGCTTGTCCAACAAAGATGTGCTGGACCCGACTGCACCTCTGAAGCTTGGACCGCTGCCTATGGACCCAGATCTTCGTGATGATGTGCGTGCTGAACTTGAGGATGAGGAGCGACGAAACCCACCAGTTCCAGGCAGACCTACCTTGTTGGAGGAATTCGACCAAAGGATCAAGCGCGAAGAGAGCGCTGATGCACCCAACAGAGCCGATCTACCTCTACCTCCATCTCGTCCCCGAGACATCATGTTGGAGATGCAGAAGGTGCGAGAGAACCGCGACCGTTTTAAGATCGACGGACAAACGGGAGGCGTGGGATTGCCTGTGAGCGCGTGTATGTTCACCTTTCACAACACGCTTGGCAGGTAAGTTCTTGGTCCGTGATTATTCCGTGATGGCCGATACTGACTATTGACAGTGTTGCGTGTATGGACTTTTCTAATGACGGGCAAATGGTGGCTGCTGGAACGACTGACTCGTACATCCGAGTTTGGTCTCTGGATGGCAAGGCTCTTCCGACAATGAATGCCCACGAGAAGGACGCCAAGTTCAACAGCCGAAAGTTGATTGGGCATTCTGGCCCCGTTTACGACGTTTCCTTCTCGGATGCCGCCTCCGGTCCTCCTCAGAAGCTCTTTGGCGACGAAGGAAAGTCGAACCCGGCTATTGACACCAGGCCCAAGCTGTTGCTCTCAGCGTCTGCCGATGGTCAGATCCGTCTCTGGTCTCTGGAGTCATGGAGCTGCCTGTGCCTCTACAAGTCCCACGATGGTCCCGCATTCAGAACACTTTGGAGCCCCCAAGGACACTACTTTGTCAGCGGTGGCTACGACAGGGCTGTAAGAGTCTGGATGCAAGATCACGCCTCACCACAGCGACTACTGGTTGGGCATGACACATCCATATCGGCGCTTGCCTGGCACCCCAACGGCCTTTACGTCTTCTCGGCATCTGATGAAACAGACAAGTCAATTAGAATGTGGTCTGTGGTGACTGGAGCCTGTGTCCGTGTCCTAACCGGCCACAACGACTACATCACTGCTCTTGAATGCGCACCAAACGGCAAGATTCTGGCGAGCGCTGACTGTGCTGGCAACATTTTCTTCTGGGACATCGCCAAGGGGACACGCATCAAGCGATCTCGTGGCCATGGAAAGGGGGGAATCTGGTCTCTCAGCTTCAGTGTCGAGTCTAATGTGCTTGCTTCGGGCGGCCAAGATGGCACCGTAAGACTGTGGGATGTTGAGTTGCCGGCGGATCCTCAGAAGGCGACCGCGCAGCAGACTGGACATGACGCTGCAGCAACAGGAACCGATGGGGCCAACGCTAGCAATGCAGCTGACGACACTTCCCGTATCGCATCAGGAACCTCTGGACAAGCTGGAGGGAGCGGGACGACTGGCGGAACGCATAAGAAGAAGAGCAAGGAGGTCATGATCACTCCTGACCAGATCAGCGCATTCCCTACCAAGAAGACGCCGGTGATGAAGGTCAAATTCACGCGAATGAATCTAGTAATTGTCGGGGGCTGTTACGATCCCGAGCGCTAGGAGCCAGAGGGAAATAACCCAGCTGCGGCGAAGCAACATCAAAGGCAGAAGTTTGCTGCCCAATTTGGGATAGGATTGGGACGAGAGACATTGACCGTTGCTCCCTCCACGGAGAATGGAAAGAAACGCAAGCGAGATGTGAGCTGAAAGGGATGATTGCCAGCAGCTGGGAAAGGGGAGATGGGTGGTTGGTAGCTGGGGGAGATGCAGCTCCAAGATCCCCTTTAGTGAACCAGTTACATCTTATTGAGGGATACCGATCATGTACACTAGGGGCAATTTCTAAAACTCAATAGCTAATACGTGTACCACTATGATATCTTTCCGCATTATCCTGCTGCCTTGAAGTTCAACAGACGGGAGTCTGCCAGGACCTGGTGAAGATGTGTACGTACCTCAACGGGGGTGAGTGGGGCCGGCTCCGCTGACGTCCGCTCGCGCATGCTCCCCAAGCTTCCATGTTCCTCTGCGCTACAATACAACATCGCATCACCTCCATCTCTCAACCAACTCGACCAACGACGGTCGCCGAATCGCACGAGTAGCTTCACTTATAGATCTCGTGACCACACTTATCAGCAATGGACGTCGAAGAGTCACCCTGGGCCGACTCGTCTCAGGCCTCCCAACAGGCGTCGCAGCCCGAAGGCTCGGCCTCCCAGTCGTCGGCAGCTCCCTCCGCTTCCTCGTCGGCCCCTCGTCCTTCGCGCGGCCCGCGTCGCCTCGTCGCCCAGCCCACCCGTCTTGAAGCTGTCGATGATCCCCTCGGTCCTCTCGGTGCCGCATCCGACGACAATGCCCCTGCCCAAGACGCACCTCCGGTGCCTCCGCAAAAGGAGCAGGTGGTGATTCGTACCACCATGCCCCAGCCTCAGCAGCAGCAGCGACGACCTGCGGATCCTCATCACATCGAGGAAGAGGAGTTTGATGGACCAAAGGGACCTAGGGCGCCCCCGCCTGTCGAGGCTGCTCAGCCCAGCGCGGTGAGGACCAGCACTCAGCCAAGTGTTAGTGTTGAGCAGGCCGCGAAGCCCTCGTTCCAAATTACTGTGGGAGATCCTCACAAGGTCGGCGACCTGACGAGTTCCCACATTGTTTACTCTGTTCGCACCAAGGTAAGGCATTCCCGAGTTCCAAGCTTGCCATGTACTGACATGTGGAACAGACCACTTCCAAGGGATACAAGCAACCCGAGTTTGAAGTCAAGCGCAGATACCGTGATTTCCTCTGGCTTTACAACACTCTTCACGGCAACAACCCTGGTATCGTCGTGCCGCCCCCTCCCGAGAAGCAGGCCGTCGGTCGATTCGACAGTAACTTTGTCGAGAGCCGTCGAGCTGCCCTCGAGAAGATGCTCAACAAGATCGCTATACACGCTACGCTACAACACGATCCTGATTTGAAGCTCTTCCTCGAGAGTGAAGCGTTTAATGTTGATGTGAAGCACAAGGAGCGAAGAGAGCCTATCCCCACCGAGAGCAAGGGTATGTTTGGATCTCTGGGTATCAATGTTGGTGGTGGAAACAAGTTTGTGGAGCAGGATGAATGGTTCCATGATCGCAAGGTCTATCTTGATGCACTCGAGAGTCAACTCAAGGGTCTCCTCAAGGCCATGGAGACGATGGTCGGTCAGCGCAAGATGATGGCTGAAGCTGCTGGTGACTTTTCGGCTTCTCTCCATGCACTTTCCACAGTGGAGTTGTCGCCATCCTTGTCAGGTCCTCTTGATGCTCTCTCCGAACTCCAGCTTACAATCCGCGACGTGTATGATCGACAGGCCCAGCAGGACGTTCTAACTTTTGGTATCATTATCGAGGAGTACATTCGCCTCATTGGATCTGTTAAGCAGGCGTTTGGACAGCGACAGAAGGCATTCTACTCATGGCACGCGGCCGAATCAGAGCTGCAAAAGAAGAAGTCCACGCAGGACAAACTCCTCAGACAAGGAAAGAGTCAGCAAGACCGACTCAACCAGATGGGAGCTGAAGTTGGAGAATCGGAGCGAAAGGTTCACCAAGCTCGACTCCTTTTTGAGGATATGGGCCGATTGATGAGGAGCGAGCTTGACCGATTCGAACGAGAGAAGGTGGAGGATTTCAAGAGCGGAGTTGAGACATTCCTGGAGAGTGCGGTTGAGGCGCAGAAGGAGGTGAGTTACTGGTGATGTCCACTCCTGAAGTCGATTGCTAACACGACACAGCTCATTGAGAAGTGGGAGACGTTCCTTATGCAACTGGACGCTGAAGACGACGACTCGGCATTCTACAGACCCCCTGTATACCAGCAGCCGCAGCAGCAACAGCAAAAGTCGGGCGATACCGCAGTTGATCGCGCCCGAGCCAGGATAGACGAGGACTCGGACTAGGTTCTCCGAGCCGATTGGTCTAGCTCCCTCTACCATTATTACATTTTATAGCGAAACGGAGGATCTCGTGTGATGGAGATGGAGAGGAACTCAAATCCGTGGGGACTGTTTGACTATTGACCACTTCCGAGAACTGGAGACCGTGTTTTTATATCATACAAGCCTCGAGGCCTAACACTGTTGTACATATTGAACCTCCCCATCCACCTCATGCTCCGTAATGCTCGGGTCTTGCCAGTAGTAGTTTAGACATGACACATTTATACCCCTTATGTTGGAACTGGGCATGATATCAAGGTGTGGGCAATGGCCTCAACAATCCAATGGCCACACCAAGCCGCCGTTTACTTTCTCTTCTTGGCCTGCTTCTTGGGCCCAGAGTCCTTCATGGATGCAGCATCTTGCGCTGGCGCATACCCTGTAATAAGATCCGCATAACCGGCATCTGCATCCGCCTCGTCGCCCTCGCCAGTACCACTGTCATATGCGCGACCGAAGCGCTCTCGGAAAGCAGCCAGCTTACCGGCCTCATCCAACTCGACGTTCTTAAGAGACTTTTCAGAAGGCTGCCACAGGAGTGTGTTTCGGGTATCCTTTGTGGCTCGGTAGATTGGGAGAGGAGAAGTGGTGCGCATGGTGTAGGCGGAGCCGTCGGAGAGGGTGACGAGCTGAGTAAAGGTGTATGGTCGGCGAGGACGGGGGATAAAGGTGGCGTGTCGGACTTGGCCGAGGGAGAAGCGTGTTGGTGATGAGGTTGATGTTGATGAGAGGGTTGTGCGGATGGGCGAGAGAGTCGCCGGCGTGACTGGAAGCTTGGCCATTGTGAAGGAGGCGCTGCGACGAGGGAGGTATGTCGAGGCCGAGGAAGAGGAATTGGAGGCCCTGAGCGGCAGGGGAGGTTGTCGTCGACTTTGTCTTGGTGGGTGGTGCTTGAAGTCGTCCGTCGTCGATGGACCGGGTAAAATTTGGGGCGTGAGGCCGATGGATGGATTGGAGGGTGGGATGCAGGGGTGGTATTCTTATCGATAAGAAAATTAAAGGTCCCTCCGTCATTTTCGGGGAACGAGCTTCAACTACGGATCAAGATAGGCAATTCCCACGATCGACGACCTTTTCAAACCAGAGGTCTTTTTTCGTTAGGGGTCGACTAGAGAAGAATTTCTGGTCGATAATGCGCTGTGGTGGGAAATGAAGGGCTCTCGGGCGCTGCGCAATGGTGCCGCGACGGCTTTCGTCACAGCGAGGGGAGGGACTAGAGGGATGAGCTCTTTGCGAGCTTTACAAGGTTGCGGGAGTGGAAGGGGGATATGTCATGGCTGCGGAAGGCCTATGGCATTATCTCTGAGTTTTCCTCAGTTACAATGGCCTTTAGGAAGGCCAAGTCAGACTCAACATCGTGAGTACCCCTCCATCTAGAACCTAGGACTTGAGCTGATACATAACGGACTTGGGCAACTCAATAAGAAGCAATCACACATCTACTACGTCAAAACCATGGCACTCCTCCCCCTCGAAACCTCCGACCGTCCATCCGACCACCGAAACTCCCCTCCCCGAACAGCTCCGCTCCATCATGCGTCTCCTACCTCATAGCGTCGTCGTCTGCACCTCGAACCAGCCCGGCGACGGGCCCCGCGCCATGACCATGTCGTCTTTCACATCTCTCACGCTCTCGCCCACGCCACTCGTAACATTCAACATTGCGACGCCAAGCCGGACGCTAGATGCTATACGTGCGAGCGGTGGGTTCAATGTCCACGTCCTAGCTGGAGATGAACGCGGCGCAAGGGTGGCGAACCACTTTACAAAAGGCAACGTGGGCGGCCATGTATTAGAGGATCTAGAAAGCCTTGGATACAGCTACCCTGACGGAGAACCCGGAAAGGGGGCTCCAGTCTTGAAGGGCGAAGGGGTCATGTTTGCTCTGCGGTGCCGGGTATTGCGGGACGCACCTGAGAGTGGGCTCGTGAGGGTGAGGGACCATGTGATTGTGGTCGGAGAGGTTGTGGAGATGGTGAGAGTGGAGGGAGAGGAGGAGTTTGGACTTGTGTATGCGGATAGGAAGTATAGACAGGTTGGGGGTGTGTTGGAGAAGTGAAAAGGTGGGATAGAGTGTAGTATATATCTGTATAAAAGGACATAGGGATCATGTAGAAACGTACTCACGACTCATACTCACTACTCGAGGTGTTTAACCCTCAGGAATATCCTATCACGGATCTCACGTTCCGTTGATGTTTGGCGACTTACAAAGTGTTTTACATTCAAGCGGCTATTATTGACCAGGTACATCTCGGGATCCGTGGAGACCCCGGTCAAAGAGAGCACGGGCAAACAATTGACAAACTCGGTTGCATCCCTAGCGAAAACGAGATTATCTGAGAAGGCTCTGGAACATTGATTGAATTTGTTGTGATTCCAAGCACGGAATAGAGCCAAGTCGTGAATCACACAAGGATCCGCCTCACTTTCCGCCTCGGCATACAACCAATGAAAGAAACGAGGCATGGATAGACGACAGGTTTTCTACCCCGGACGAAAAAGGGTAAAAGTGGAAAAAGAACAGCTACGGTCTTTATCATTCAAAACCTGGACAAGGGTAAAGGTGCTACCCTATGCAGAAGGATCAATGGATGGGCATCGTGATGTTCCTTTGTGTGCCCAAGCTTATCCTCAACAGCTCAGCTCAGCCTTGCTGCCTTGATGCATTGTCAACCATTGGCCCTCGTTCCTGCGGCTGAGCGCATCTACGTAAACAGTTTCAAGGTGCCTGGCAGGCCTCAATCAGCCTGGCTCCATCAAACACAACAAGCGATACAAGGCAATCCGGCTGTGGGTTGGCTAGAAGATTCGATCGAGGGGTTGTTTTGTCTCTTCTGCTTGCGACTGGGGTTCGGAGGCGGTGGGGAACCTTTGTTGGCGGAAGAGACTAGAAACTCGAGCAGGGGTCATTCCTTTCAGCCTCGAACAAAGAGGAGGGGGGGTTCTGACCAACAACCTCGGACCACCTTGAAGATTTGCATAGGCAGGGCAAGGCTGTAGCAGATCGAGTTTTTACTACCAATGACTCGCTAGACCAGAGTAGAAAAAAAATCTGTCGTCTTCTATCTAAAAGTCAAATATTCTTGACTCGGTACCTTTTCGGTACCTGATCTCGCAACACATGAACACCGTGAGGCGATGCGTCTCGAGTTGGGGGAAACGTGGGAAGGCCCTAGCAGGATCTAACCAATCGCAAGAGTTCAAGCTGGGGGCGGTGCGTGCGTGCTTGCGTTTGCCGCCTGGTCCCTTGATGCTTTTGGGGTAGAGAGAGAAGGTACGTACCTGATACAGCTAAGCTGTTAGAGGGGCGGGGAGGAGGGGAGGAGTGAGGTGAGCCCGAGATACAGACCAAAAGTGGCGGGCAGCAGCAGGCACAAGGCGGTGGCCACTTGCCGTACAGTAGCGTAGCGCAAGGGCGGTTGGTTGCCGTGGTTGCCTGAGACGAGAGGCCCAGCCAGCGCCTGTCAGCGCCTGCAAGGCGGGGAGAGAGAGAGGGGAGTTTGTTAGGCATGGAGGTAGGCGTAGGCGCTAGGTGGGCTCTGCTCTTGTGGTCGTGGAATCCCATGGAAGCCTCACCGTGAGAGAAACAGATGGAAGGAAGGAGGGGCCCAGCGCCGCCTCTGCCACTGCCTACATATTTTTTGACCTCTGCTTCCTCCATCCTCCCCTTCTCTTTCTCAAACATCATCTCTCCTTCTCCCTCACTCATATTCATCCTCTCCTCCCTCTCACCGGAGAATCAACTCTCAATCACAGACGAGTCTACTTGTCTTTTGCATTTCCTTTTTGTCAAAACCATCTCAAGGTACGTTGCGCTGCCGCCCATCCCACCTGGAGCCGCACGGTTGCGAGCTGCCCGCCCTCGATTCCCCTTCCTTCGCCGCACATCTTTCGACGAACAGATTGGTGCATCGCGATAGCAAAGCCGTCAGTTTGACTTCTGAGCCATCGCCGGTTGCATTCATCACTTTTTCGTTCGTGATTGAGTCCTACGTGCGGTCGCTGGGAGCTCGAATTCCAGAGCCTTCCATACCCCTCCATCCGCTTGCACAACCTCTTTGGCCAACAACCCACCACAATCTACACTCTTTCAACCCCACCTCGATCGCTAACATTCTTCCCCGCAGTCACGAAATTCTTTGATACCCGACAAGATGGCTGAGACCTTCGAGTTCCAGGCTGAGATCTCTCAGCTGCTCTCGCTCATCATCAACACCGTCTACTCCAACAAGGAGATTTTCCTCCGAGAGATCGTCTCCAACGCCTCCGATGCTCTCGACAAGATCCGATACAAGGCCCTTTCGGACCCTAGCCAGCTTGACTCTGGCAAGGACCTCCGCATCGACATCATCCCCGACAAGGCCAACAAGACCCTCACCATCCGGGATACCGGTATCGGTATGACCAAGGCTGTAAGTTTTTACACGTGCACCCTCTGCCAATACACAAGCTAACATTCCCAGGACCTCGTCAACAACCTTGGTACCATTGCCCGCTCCGGCACCAAGCAGTTCATGGAGGCCCTCACCGCTGGCGCTGATGTTTCTATGATCGGTCAGTTCGGTGTCGGTTTCTACTCTGCCTACCTCGTCGCCGACCAGGTCCGCGTCATCTCCAAGAACAACGATGACGAGCAGTACGTCTGGGAGTCCAGCGCCGGTGGCACCTTCTCCATCACCGCCGACACCGAGGGCGAGCAGCTCGGCCGCGGTACCTCCATCATCCTCCACCTCAAGGATGAGCAGACTGAGTACCTGAACGAGTCCAAGATCAAGGAGGTCATCAAGAAGCACTCCGAGTTTATCTCCTATCCCATCTACCTCCACGTCGAGAAGGAGACCGAGAAGGAGGTCCCTGATGAGGACGCCGAGGTTGAGGAGGTCACCGAGGAGGGTGACGACAAGAAGCCCAAGATCGAAGAGGTCGACGACGAGGAGGAGGGCAAGGAGAAGAAGCCCAAGACCAAGAAGATCAAGGAGACCAAGATCGAGGAGGAGGAGCTCAACAAGCAGAAGCCCATCTGGACCCGCAACCCTCAGGACATCACCCAGGAGGAGTACGCTTCCTTCTACAAGTCCCTCTCCAACGACTGGGAGGACCACCTCGCTGTCAAGCACTTCTCCGTTGAGGGTCAGCTTGAGTTCCGCGCCATCCTCTTCGTCCCCAAGCGCGCTCCCTTCGATCTCTTCGAGACTAAGAAGACCAAGAACAACATCAAGCTCTACGTCCGCCGCGTCTTCATCACTGACGATGCCACCGACCTCATCCCCGAGTGGCTCGGCTTTGTCAAGGGTGTTGTTGACTCTGAGGATCTTCCCCTCAACCTGTCCCGTGAGACTCTCCAGCAGAACAAGATCATGAAGGTCATCAAGAAGAACATCGTCAAGAAGTCTCTTGAGCTCTTCCAGGAGATCGCCGAGGATAAGGAGCAGTTCGACAAGTTCTACAGCGCCTTCTCCAAGAACCTCAAGCTCGGCATCCACGAGGACTCCCAGAACCGCCAGATCCTTGCCAAGCTCCTCCGATTCAACTCCACCAAGTCTGGCGATGAGCTCACCTCTCTCTCCGACTACGTCACCCGCATGCCTGAGCACCAGAACAACATGTACTACATCACTGGTGAGTCGATCAAGGCCGTCTCCAAGTCGCCCTTCCTCGACACTCTCAAGGAGAAGGGTTTCGAGGTTCTCTTCCTCGTCGACCCCATTGATGAGTACGCCATGACTCAGCTCAAGGAGTTCGAGGGCAAGAAGCTGGTTGATATTACCAAGGACTTCGAGCTCGAGGAGACTGAGGAGGAGAAGACTGCCCGCGAGGCTGAGGAGAAGGAGTACGAGTCTCTTGCCAAGGCTCTCAAGAACGTCCTCGGCGACAAGGTCGAGAAGGTTGTTGTCTCCCACAAGCTTGGTCTCTCCCCTTGCGCTATCCGAACTGGCCAGTTCGGTTGGTCCGCCAACATGGAGCGTATCATGAAGGCCCAGGCCCTCCGTGACACCTCCATGTCCAGCTACATGTCTTCCAAGAAGACCTTTGAGATCTCTCCCAAGTCTCCTATCGTCCAGGAGCTCAAGAAGAAGGTCGAGGCTGACGGCGAGAACGACCGCACCGTCAAGTCCATCGTCCAGCTCCTCTTCGAGACCTCTCTGCTCGTCTCCGGTTTCACCATTGATGAGCCCGCTGGCTTCGCCGAGCGCATCCACAAGCTCGTCCAGCTCGGCCTCAACATTGAGGAGGATGACTCTGCCCCTGCTGAGGCTGAGGCTACCGACGCCCCCGCTGCCACCACTGGTGACAGCGCCATGGAGGAGGTCGACTAAATGACCATGCATGAGAAACGGGATACCACAAAAAGTCAACGGAGTTGAAGGATTTCGGTTTTTTATGAGCAACAAGGTCTTTTATGTCGTCATGTTTTTCCTCTTTTGATGAATGCGGACTCGTCGGATTTAGAGCAGCCGCGCACTCAACCATAATTCCCGGTTCTTGACAGGAGGACGGGGTGTACTCTAGTTAGCTCTATGATCATGAGAAAGATGAAGTAGACGCGAAAAGATGGTATAGAACAACATTGTGTCTGATTGTGATTGTGACTGTGACTGTTTGTACTGCCATTTAACATTGATACTTGTGGTCGAGGCTCTTCAACACTGATGAAAGCCAAGGAAGGATGTTAGAAGAAATAGCATTCAAACAAGCCTATGGGTATATTTCTAGTCAAGCAAAGTGGTAATGCCAGTGTCTATAATCCATCCATCCAGTTGTTCCCCCAATCCCAAACCGATATATGTGTACAGACAGACAAGAGATATGTAGTGTAGAGAGGAAAGACAAAACGAGTGATGCGTTTCTCCGCTTCGTATATCGTACAGAGTCCCTCTACTGCTGATGACCTGAAAGGATGGATATGGATGTGCTTGGACAGGATAGGTGATCAAGCAACAGAACAGGGAGATGAGAGAGATCTATTCCGAAATCACATGCATTGCAACTAAAGAAGGACATAGAGTGCGCATATCTAGAGATTGGTTAGAATTGTTGCAAAAGAGGAAGAAGGCAACGTACCAAGCTGAGACCTAGAATCATTGAGGCCCAGAAGCAGACATTGTTCAAAGTTTGGCGGCCGCGAACCCACTTTGTGCGTTGAAGGACGACAATGGGCAGCTGGAGCATCTGACACACGAAGCCGTACCCGCGGAGCTTCTTGGTGATGCAAGCCATGACAATCTCATGGCCAATGGCAGAAATGAGAAAGGTCAGCGCCGTGGCTGCACCCTTGCCTATGCGGGACCTTGAGGCGCTATAAACATGACGGCGGAGGAAGCTGTAAACGGGGATATTCCACTCCCGAGAGAACTCCATCCAGTCAGTCGAGTTCCACCAGTCCGAGTAAAAGTGGCGATCGGCAAAGCGAGTGATTTCGGCAAAGGCGCCGAGGACGTATTCAAAGATGACAAGGAAGACGAGGAGGAAGGTGAGCATGAATGGGAAAAGAAGCCACGAGATGGTCTCGGCAAGAATGAGAGCCGTCTCGGAAACGGATGATATAGCTTGAACGGCGTCGAGGCGTTCCGAAGCGTCAGTGAGAACAGGAAGAATAAAGTCCTCGGAAATAATGGTCAAGAGGAAAATGCAGCCAAAGGTGGCAATGATCTTGGAGATGAGCGAGATCCAGTTGATAGACGAGGTTCGAGGGTACTCGATCTCGTAGCATAGTGTAGGACAAAGGATGTAGTCCGTGTAGTTTGACCAGGTGAGGTTGCTCGGGTATGTGACGTTGCCCATGGGACTGGTAAGCTCACGGGCGAGGTTTTCGCGCAGCTCGTCAACTTCGTCAGAACTATTGTTGGCGCTCGCAGGAGGGCTCTGGATTTGCTGTACAGCAGTGGGAGTTTCTTCCTCATCGTTGCTCTTGTTGCTATCGCTCGCCAGTCGTTTCCGTTGCTGACGTCTTCGCTGACTGCGCTGTCGGCTGCGCTGTCGGCGCTTCTTGCCATTGGTATTCGCTAGGGCACCAGAAGTGGTGGTAGAACTTCCGGGGAAGTCGGCGCTGGGATATTGGTAGGCCGGTCGGCGATCGGGGACAGAGGAGGGGTTGTCGAGGGCGTGAAGTCGCTTCTCTGTTTCAGACAAGTGGCCGTTGTAGAAAGCATACGAGTGCATCTTCATGAGAAGCACCATAGTATGCAGAAGGAAAAAGACCTGGGCGGTCCAAGCCCACTCGAAGTAAAAAGGCACAGCAATCCAGAGGGAGAGCCAGGCAACCTGGTAAATGCTCTGGAGAGCCATTCCTCCACGCCTCCAAGTTGCAATGCCGTCAGGCTTGGCAGCGCGAGCTGCGCGATGCAAGGGCAAGCTGATAGCAGTGGTAGCGACCATGAGGAAGTCGGCGATAGCGAGATGCCAGAGCTTTACAGTAAAAAGACCCCAGATTTGCACTCTCAGAGGGAAGCCGGTGTCTTTGATGTTGCGAAGCATCGAGGTAATGCCCATGATGGCAAGGCCAATCCAGAAGAGGTTGAAGAAGCCATGGAAGTCTCGGTAATCGCTTTCTGGATCGAAATGACTGACGCGCGAGGCGAACTCGATGGTAGGAAAGATGCGACGGCGTTGCTCGGCTCGAGCCTGCTTGCGAGCAGTGGAAAGGGATTTGGCAGACGGAGGCGCATTTTCGGGGACAGGCGTGGAACGACCACTGTACAATGTTAGAAGATGCTGGGCCATTGACATGTACCGAGAGCAAAAGAGATATACCTAGTCAAACCACTCGCTGTGCTGGTGCTGAGATTGTCAGGCATGAGGTGCCCATTGTCGTCGCTCGCTGTGGACATGCGAAGGATCTCGGAGACCTGAGAATGTTGGGGTTTGCGCGGGCGCGGGCGGAGGACATGATCGTGGTCGCCGGCATAGGCGTTGCCGTTGATCGCGGTATCTATTGAGGAGCTCATCCTCGCAGTATTGGTATCGTGGTGGTGGCGATCAATCTCGGAGGCGCATCGGGCGAGTTTCTGGATGATCTACTTCTCTCGGGGAAGCTCTCGGAGGGTGAAGATGACAGGATAAGTCGAGTGGCGCAAACAAGGAATGACACAGAACAAGTAGCCCAGAGTGAGAACGAAAATAAAGTGAGAAAAGCAAATTCAGGGCTTTGTGTGGTGAGACACGATAATGATAATTGTTCAGTCGCTGCTTATCTTCCCCAGTCGTCAACGACTTGTAAGGAGATGGATGATGTCGAAAATGGAAGAGGGGAAAGGAAGGCGGAAAGAAGCTAGGCAAAAAGGAAGAGGAAAGAGCAAGAAACGGGAAAGCCACAACAAGCTGTCATAGGTAGGCAGCTACTTGTTGGGAAGGCGCGACTTGGTTTCGGGTTAGGCTGGAAGGTGAGTTGTGAGTTGTGACTGCCGTGCGAGCGAATGCGACTCTTCGGCTGTGGCGGGATGCTCCTTCCAGATGACAGCTGCCCTCTTTTTAGTGCACTTTCCACTTGTTCCCTCCTGTAACACCTGCAACACCCCTGGAGGCGTATGACGTAAGGCACCCACGAGTCGGAGCTCCGCGTCGTCATTCATGCTTAAACGGCCGACGGACGATCACGAGGCATCCTTCAGTTCATCCGATCTGGTGCATAAATTCACACGTTATTACGATGCCAGGCTGGCTTGTTCGCCTGTTCTAGGCAGACAGTAGACGCAGGTACGTCAATTGCTCGAGTCCACGTCTGTATAACCTCATTCATAGTGTCATTTTCGTCATGCATAATTCACTGCCTTTGCACAGCCGGCCTATCCGCGTATCAATTTCCTCGTATCACTCGTTCGCTCGCTCCATGGAAAATAAATTCGTAAATCGTATTCCAATCCCCCCGCCATTCGCCAAGAGGCTCAACTCAATCTTCATCTACGGAACATCCGGACTACGCCTTGCAATCCGCCCAAAGGACACCGTGCCCTGCCATTGATCAACATCACTTGATTCACACGGCCTCCCACTTGTCCATGGCACATTTGCCTCTCGTGTGGCTGGACCGTTGAAGCTCGAAACGTCGCTTTAAAGTTCATCCACCAGAGATCAAAGCCAATCTCGCAGCATAGCAGGAAGCATTTGACATCGGCTAGGGCCGTCCCGAACCTTCGTTGACGACACGTCTCGTTACAGTACTGTATGTAATAGTTCTAGGTCAATCTATGTTGGCAGGGAGCACGGATTCTGAAAATGATATCAATTCTCTGCCGTCTCACCAACAAGCCAAGAACTCGCAATTAATTATCTACAATACTGCGGAACGCCTAAGCCATAAGGGCTCCGAAGAAGAATGGCCATGCAAGTCAACGGCCCGGTCAGTTTGGAGCCTCCGCTGACAAAGACGGCAGGCACTGATTCCTCGGGCTGCGAACTAACTGCGAGCTCCTTGACCGTGACAAGGGTGGAGGAAGCTGGAGGAGGAGTCGTGGGCTCTTCGACACCCTGGAGAAATGCCAGTGATCACCGTGCGGTGTGCATTCGTTATTCTCAGTTCCGGCACTAGGCTTACCGCTGGCCTCACTACCTGGCGCTTCGCCAGGAGTGTACGAGGGTTCTCCGGCTCCCTCAGGGCAATCTCCATGAGGTGTACAACCGTTGTGCTCGGCTACAGCGTTACACTGCACTTCTTGGTGCTTAACTTAGGAGGTATGGAGGCTCCTCAACGCCCTCAGGGCAATGCCAGTGGTCCCCATGCGGGGTGCAGCCAGCTTGTCTACCCGGCGCTTCACCTGGGGCGTAGGGGGCTCCTGGACATTATCGAGAAATGCCAATAATCGTTGTGGGCCATACATTCAGTCGATGAGGCCTCAGAACCACCATGAGATCCATCACCCCCAACCTCACCATCAGGCTCTTGACCAGGAGGGTAAAGGGCTCTTCCACTCCAGGGGTAATGCCAATGATCTTGATGAGCTTCGCACTCTTCAGAGCCTGGCCCTAGGGAAGTAGGCTTGGGGCCTCTCTGAGTGGTTAAAGTCTTCACAGGAGGCTGTTCGCCGCTGTTCGTAGGCTCAAAGTGCCCTCAAGGGTCAGCTGATGAAAATAGTACATAAAGATGAAACTTACAGTGGTCACCTTATGGCGAGCAGATCGATGTAGTTGGCCAAGGAGGCAACTTGTCGTCCGTGGTCGCTGTGGAAGGCTCACAATGCCCTATAACATGTTAGTCAGGGGCTGAATTTCCAAGTCACACTAGAAAAGCTCACAATAGTCAGTCTCCGTGAGGACTGTAGACAGATCTGGTGGGTAATAGGGGTAGTTTGTCCTCGATCGTCGTACTGCACTCGGTCACGGTGAAAGTGGACGAGATGATGCAGTACCTATCAGCCGCTAGAATTTCCAAGGCAAGGAAGCCATAGGCAGTCTTTGTCGGCTTTCATTTTTGTCGGTAAGGTGCTGGAGATGGTAACACGAGAGTCGCTCCAGGTCCATTCCTCAGTGTAGCACTTAGAGTTAATGGAACTATGCCAGCTCGTGTAGTCGGTAGCTATGGGATCGACGCCGTAATGGGTGGTGCTGATGATGCTGGATCTGAGGGCTCATCGGGTCAGTAAAAATCGAGCGTAATCGTTACTCCTCTAGGCTTACGTAGAAACCGGAGCTGTTGGCTCAGTCACAGCTCTGGGTAGAACCGCATTTGACACGGCCGGGACAAAGATGAGGCCCGAGGGCAAGGTTTCCAAGTTCGTGTTGGATTGTCGGCGGCGAAGAGCAGGCTTGGTTCAAGAAAGCTCAAGTTCTTGTGCTGATCAAGAGACGACAACCCGAGAATCAACCCAGGTTCATATACATGACCTTTCCAATTCTTCTCTCATACTCTCCCCTATCTGTTCATCTCCAAAACCGAACCTCCAACTATCTGATCGCTCATGATTGCCCGACCACGTCGCTGCTAGTGTTCTCATATTAGAAGCTTGACTTCTTTGAGAGGAACATAGTGAGGAGTTGCACAGTCGTCATGGTGGTTCTGCGAAAACTCTCTCATGCTGGCTGAGAACCTCTGGGTTTTGCTTAGATAGCTGGGTATTGGCAGCAGAATCAACAACCATAATTCCGCATATTTCTCTAAAGCGAGTAATATAGTAACTCTTGAGATGAAGATCTACTTCTTTTCCGACGCTCGCAAGATAGCATGAAGTAGCTTAGTCTAGTTACCGGTCGGTGGTCAAGTCGTCTAGGTGATGTAGTTAAGTGGGAAATTGTTTCACAAACAATCACCTATCTAACAATCAATCATCATAATTACAAGATTGTCATCATCGGTATCCTTTTGCAGGCCGCAATTCTTCCCCAACAATTATCCACCCCTCACAGAGCTGCTCCCATCAAACGTGCCAACAATTCCCTGTCCATCGAGTTTGTACGCAAACTCGGGTCGATTCTCTTCAAGCTCCTCCATGAGGAATATGCGCTGCGAATGTGTCGTGACCAGTTGAATAAATGGCCAAAGGCGCTTGTACGCGTCTCTATCGGAGGGAAGCTCCATGACCAAAGCTCGGAGAGCCTGAAACAGGTGTTCAGGCAAGATCGGATGCTCCTCCTCGGCCGTGTACTCGTAGGTCAGCTGGGTGTTCCCCTTGGCCTCGAAAAGCACTCCCAGCCAGGAAGGGTCATATTGCTGACACCAGTCAAAGACCTTTTTCTTCATGCCCTCGGTGAGTACCATGATGACGGGCTTGCTGAGCCATCTCCTCATGCCGGTGGCGAGTTCCATCTGGTTGTAGGCATCGTCACCGAGCCTGTTCTCCAGGCCTCCAGCTCTTCTCATGGCGTCTTGTCGGGTGATGATGAATGTCCGCCCCTTGGGATTCGATCGGAGAGCAGGTGGTGGTCTTTCGGGTTCGTCCTTCACCTTGGAGCGCCCTCTTTTCTTCCCGCGTGGCGGGGATGATTGGCTTTTGGCTTTTCCCATGGCTCAGAGGGACAGGAGCCCTGTTGTTTTCCGGGTAATAAACCGTTGTAGTAGATGTTTTTGTATCTATGGGAATTATTATCAATGACTTGGGAATTTCGAAAAGACGAAAGAAGACCTTACGGTTTTACTCTGACTGAGCTCGAGCTCAGGGAAGAAATGCGAGGTAACACCGACTTGTACAAGAACCTCGTCGTCAACATTCATAAAAACATAGATAGGAATTCTGGGCCACACACTACTCTCAGATCCCGCGGTGTTCGATATCAAAAATTCATCTCGTGTGTCGGGTGTGTTGAGGTGGAGGCTACAAGATGGGCGGTAGGTGGCAGTGACAACCATTCAGGCGACAGTGATTCACTGCCGCTCAAGTAAAGGCGGTTTCTAGAAGAAAGGATGAGAACTTCAGAGTCCATTCACCACCCTTGCGCAAAACATACACTTTTACTACGGTTTCGAAACCTATCGCTCGCTGCCTCCCAGACTGAATCATGTCTGTAACAGAGTTGATGCCACTCCCAAATTTATATACTTGTTTCGCCCTTAGGCATAAACAAGGATATATAGGTATGCCGACTTCACCATATTACCTATAATCACCAAGGCTGTCTGTTGCTCTACGCAAAAAGATATCACACGTTTCACAAGCAGGCACTCGAGAGGGCAAAAAGGACTCCGGTACAGGGAATCGAACCCTGGGCTCCGCGGTACTTGATCTCTCAGGTTATGAGAGCGCGAAATGTTAGCCACTACACCATACCGGATAGTGCTTTTGGTGTTGGAAGCGGCGATGAAAACGGGGGCCAAGGGGAGCAAGGGGGACGTTGGTGTTGGACTTGACAGCGACGACTTGGGCAAGTAGAGGCATCCATAATGTCTTGTAGAAACTTGCCATCGATCATGCTTGTAATCGAATAACGATAGGCAAGAAAGCTACTGCATGGAAGGATTAGACGGAAGGTTCGAAAGGGTTCAAGGCAGTGGATGTTCCAAATCGCCCATGCTCTGACCGACCTCTTCGATGAGGCATTGATCCTTGCTTACGCCCCGTGACTTGGACCTCTCAGGGGTTAACTACGGTGAACACGGGCCGGTACAAAGCCCGAACCGCCGACATACTTTCGCCTACATCGCCTTCCATCGTATCCCAGAAGCCAACCACAACTCAACAACAACTTCCCAACGAGAGAACTCGGAATCATCCACTCTCCTCCAGCGCTCGCCTGGCACCTCTTGTTCCCCTTGGCCATCGCCTCCTTGCATCAACAGCCAATCAGCATCCGGTATGGTGTAGTGGCTAACATTTCGCGCTCTCATCACCAAGTTGAGAGATCACCTTGAACCGCGGAGCCCAGGGTTCGATTCCCTGTACCGGAGACCATATCTTTTTGCTTCCTTTGCGAGTGGTTGGCAGATCTTTTTGCCTCTTTACCAGACAACGTTTGCTAGTGATCATGGACATGATGTCTCGGGGTCTCTCTTGTTACCCCATCAATTGACTAAACAACATTGCGAACCAAGGTAAGTTGCGTTTAACTTAACGAGCCCGAGATCATAGTTTCCCCAGTTCTTGGCCAGACAACTACAGCACGGTACGTTGTCTTTGCATAGGATATGAACGCGAACAATAACTAACAGGGATAGTAGCGGCCGAGTTCCGTGGCTTTATGGCTCGGCAACTATGCTCCTCTTGGAGATGGGCATATACGAATTCAGGCAAAGAAGATCGGCTGGCTGGTATTAGCTCTACATCCCCAACTCACACTTCAACCAGCCACCATCTTAGCCTTTGCAATTCCGTGTCACACAACTCAGATGACAGATACCTGGTCTCCTCCGCTATCCCGTCACCCCCGACTTGAGCGTTTCCCGCAACTCCGGAACTCAACAATAGCCAATCATATCCGGTATGGTGTAGTGGCTAACATTTCGCGCTCTCAACTTCAAAGCTGAGGGAATAGCACCGCGGAGCCCAGGGTTCGATTCCCTGTACCGGAGAGTATTTCTTTTTGACTGGCCGTTGCCCTCCTCCTGTTCTTTTTGCAGGTCGGGACATCATGGCCGAGCATCGCCTTAGTGGGTGAAAGTCAACTTTCCTAAATAAAGGACACTCAAGAAAATGCTATGGGGGTAGGGAGTAGGAAGTAATTTACTCCGCCTTCGACATTGGCATCGGAGGAGAAGGAGGAAGCCGAGTTGCCTCAGTGACCCATGATGCTCTCCTCCGCCCTCAAATCACACCCATCTCTTATTGTCGAAATATATCCCCCAACAACAGCAGGCTAAAAAAATCGGAGCCACATGCTGAGGTTGGCTCATAACGCTCAGGGGTTGAGCAGCCTTTGCGACCTTCAGATCAATAGATGGTAGACGTGCGATTCCCGGACCTCCCACTACAGAAGGATACACAGCCAGTTCCCGACTCTTGTCTTTCCTTGCTCTTGTATTTGCAAATGCCCTGATCAACTTCTATCTCGTGTCGGTTGATAGAACGGCTTCACCTGGCATATCAGCAGAAGAGTAGTCCCAGTCCATACAACACATCAGGAACTCCCAAGGCATAGCCGGAACAGCCAAACCCCGAACAAGATAAACCCTTGCTTAGACCTGGTGTCCATCGGATACGCCAACCGTCGTTGTTCTCTCCAGCAACACCCTCACAACTCCATGAGAAGGGGTGTGAACTTGACATCCTCCGGACTTGACTGAGGAGGCCAATAGATCCCCAACTTTGCCATAAGGAGCCATTAAAAACTACAACAATGCAATAATGCTCTCTCTCGCTGCCGTCCCCCCGTCTCCAGCCGAGCTCCCTGTCGTCGTAGGGACTGTTTGCGAGCGCCGTCGTCAACAACACCAATATCCGGTATGGTGTAGTGGCTAACATTTCGCGCTCTCATAACCTGAGAGATCACTCGATCCGCGGAGCCCAGGGTTCGATTCCCTGTACCGGAGTTTCTTTTTGCTAATCCTTCCTCCTGCTCTTTGCCCAGTGTGTGCTCACGATGGGCGTTGCGATGGTTGCTTGAGTCGTGTGACACTGCTACCAAGTTATGTGGCTTTGCCTTTTTACCGTAAAAGACCTCCTGGGGCCAAGGCGTCTCAAGTGGTCTTGGTTGCTTTAGTATGTATAGTGAGACGCCGGTGTAAAGGGTTGCTTGGGCGTATCACTATGGGTTTGTGTAACGTCTAATGTTACACGAGACCAAGTCTGTTAAGAGGTGATAACTCTTCAACCAACATCGGAGCAACAGACTTACAAATCAGTATCTTGCAATTATATCCATCTTTTGAATTAGGTTACTAAAACCTCAAAGACCTAGCGAAACTGCTCGACACGTCATAGCGGTGCTGTCTGCTGGGAGTGATCAACATGCGAGGAAGACACCCTATACCAAATAAACGATATAGCAACAACGACTATTCCATATTGAGGATGAAATCAAGCTGGAAACGAGAGAGGAATCAAGTACAATTCACACTCTCTAAATATTTTCTGCTTCATCCACGACTCTACTGCTTAGGAAGTCCCAACGTGATCGTTCTTGCATCAAACCCTGTCAACTTGACAACCAAGACATGGAACTGACATCTGCAGGAGGCTATAGACCCGAATCTCGCCAGGTAGAGAGAGAATAATTTGCTCAGACACCCATGGTAACAGAGCCGTCATTAGCCAACACTACTTTGGCAACCCTGAGCTTTAACTACGTGCCACGGGTAAGATCAAAACATTCATAGCACATACGGATCATACGAATCACAGTGATCGACAAATAAGCATCGCAAGCAAACGTGGCATTAACATCTAGGTACCTCGTTCTATCACAATGGGAGCCATGCAACACCGGCGATGCAGATACAAGAAAAACCACACCATTGGGAAAAAATACGCACGGGTCCAGAAATAAGCAACGGCAAAAAAACTTGATTCATTGACTCAACAAAAAACCCAGAATCCAATTCCTTGGGGTCCATCTTTTACAGGAGGACCATGCCGGCACCGACAACACCGGCGACGGCCACGTAGGCGCCGACGGCGAAGTCGCCCAGGGAGAAGACGCGGGCAATGGAGGCCGAGTGGATGCCGAAGCTGTCGTCGTCCGAGGAGTCGGAGCCGCTGGTGGAAGCGGCACCGGAGGCAGCGGTGGCAGTGGCGACCTCAGCGTTGATGGAGCTGGCGGAGGCGAGGGCAGACTTGCAAGAGGACTCGGAGGCGGCCTTCTGGGTGGTGGCAGAGCCATCGAAGTCACAGGCGGTGGAAGCCTTGTCGAGGTCCTGGTAGTAGGCGTCAAGGACGTAGGCGAGCTTGTCGGCCTCGCCGCACATGCTGTAGGCGCCGTAGACACCGGTGGAGGCGTTGGCCTGGATACCCTTGCAGAGCTCAGGCTTCTCACCGCAGATGTAGCCGAAGATCTCGCCGTAGCTCTTCTCCTTAAGACCCTTGGCGGGGACACACTCGCGAGAGGCGACCATGCAGTCGCAGAGGGTGGAGTCAGGGGTGCGGGGGAGGACGCTGTTGGCGTTCCAGGTCTCGGACAGCTTGGGGCAGGTGGCAGCAGAGCCAGAGGGCTTGTACTCGTCGGCCTCGACACCGTTGGGGCGGGCGGCGGTGACCTTGGTCTTGAGGGCGTTGAAGTCCTTAAGCTTGGTAACCTTGCCGTTGTTGACCTTGACCAGACCGTAGTCGTTGTCCTCCTGGAAGTACATGTAAACGATACCACCGCTGAAGACACCAGTCATCTCGTCGCTGTACAGAGCAGTGGTCTCCTCAAAGATACGGCCAGCAGCACCATCGGGCTCGTTGCAACCATACTCGGCGAAGAAGACGGGGACGTTGTACTCCTTGAAGAACTTGACCTGGTCGGCATAACCGGACTTCTGCATGTCGCTCTTGCCGCACCACGAGTAGATGTTGTAACCCCAGTAGTCAATGCGCTCCTCATCCTTACCACAGTTGAAGTAGTCGGCAATATCCTCACGGATGTCGACATCATCGTTGGCGGCGTAGCCGACACCGAGCCAGCGGCTGTGAGTCTTCTTGATGTGGGCCTTGGTATCACGGACGGCGGCCTTGACGAAGGCGGAGGCCTCAGTGTTGGACTTGTTGTTGGACACCTCGTTACCGGCGAAGAAACCGATAACGTTGTCGTACTTGGCGAGCTCGTCAACGACCGCGGTGTAGCGCTCGTACAGGTCGACGTTCCACTGGGCGTCATCACGGTTGATGGAGAGGCTGGGCTCGCTCAGATCGGAGATGACGTAGATGCCGGCAGCATCGAGGAGCTCCATGCACTCGGTATGGTCCTCCTTGGGGTTGATGGCGTAGGTTCGGATGGTGTTGGTACCGAGCTCCTTGAGGAGAGGAACATCGCGCTTGCAGCTGGTGACGTCGGCAAGGGGGTCAATGTAGCTGTCCTTCTTGGTGTTGGTCGCGCCAGCGGCGGCGGTGTCCTGCTGGTAGGCAACACCCTTCATGAAGAATTCGGTACCGTTTTCGTAGAAGAGCTTGGAGCCCTGGAAGGGGTTAGTATCGCAACGGTCGGCCGCCTCATGTCGAATCCACGAACCTTCATGACGATGGGCTGCAGCTTGGCGTTGGCAGCCGTGGCCGCCGCAGCGACGAGGGCAGCGGAGAACTTCATTGTGCTATGCGAAAAATAACGAGTTTGTCAAAGGAAGGACGAGAATCAAGTTGAAGAGTTGAAGATGGAGGATCGGGAGCGCAGGAATGTGAGTTGCACCCCTTTTTTCAATCAATTCGCCTCTCGTAGAGGGATAAGAGCGTTCTAGTTCAAAAGAGTGACTGGAAGGAGTAAACGGCCTCAAAACACAGAGAACCGAAAAAAAGAGGAAGAATGAATTAAAGAGTTAGCGAAGGTTGATGAAGAAGGAAGGGAGGCGTTGATTATGGAGGAGGAGGACGGGTCGAGGAAGGATGGGGAGATTTGAGAGGGAAAATGGGCAGCGGGAGGCGACTAGCCAGGGGGACCCCTGCCCCGTAGCGAATGAAGTTCCGCTAGAGATTCTGGCAGGGGGTTGGTTCTAGCGCACTGTGGCACTGTGCCAGTGTGCCCCCCGGGTCCCCCTACGGTGAACACTTTCCCCCATCCCAGTCGAACCAAAGGGGCCAGGCTCGCAGTGCTGTGGACCAATAGAGGTAGTTCCCCTGTCGATTTCGAGGCGCAGCACCAACGATGGAAGCTTGTTTGGGACTTGTCCGGCGCCACCCGTGGCCAATCAGGGCATGTCGACGTGGGATCTCATCTCGCTGGACGGTGATAATGTGCGGTGAGTCAATGCGCACTGTTGTTGGCTTGTTGATTAACAGACCCAAGCTATTACTGTCACGGCATCTGTTAGTGCCTCATCTTCCGCCATATCGGACACTGTAGAATAGGGGATAATCTCCACTGAATCTCGCTCACGCCAAACATCCATCAGGGGCGCCTCCGTTCGGTGACGGGCATGTCCCTCTCTTGCCTTGCTTCTTGTCGAACAAGCACTATACGAGCCCTCAAGTGACTGGGAAATTGCCAGCCTCCATTAGCTACAGACAATCGGAAGTCGGTCTGGAGTCGCTTGGGCTTGGGCTTGCGATTAATCAAAGTCCAACCTCGACTTGAATCATGTGAATCTCGGAGATATTGATCCAATGTCATTCATCTATCGCCCATCTCCCACTTGCCCGGGGCCAAGTCAAATCTAAACTCAAGACAGCTTACGTGTTTCCGTATTTCCCTCTGTCGCATGGAGATTGTCAACCTCAGGGATGTTCTCGGCCCCCCAACCCCAGCTCGTGTTTGACCTCTGGCTCATCCTCAGGCGCCGCTTTCTTGTCTGTCATGCGCTGCTGCGCAACACACTGTACCGTACGCAAGCAGGTCCATTTGTACAATCTCTCACTGCCGTCTGCTGGTTGGCTCTGTCGAGGGGATCCTCGGCTGGTCGCAGTCTGAAACAAAGCGCAGATGGCATGGGCGGCTCTGCACTGCACATCAATGGAGCCTGCCATGTCATGTCGACCCAGTCCCGGAGGATATTTTGGGTGATTTTCCTGCTTTCCATCCCCTGGATCGTCAACTCGCTGTCTATCCTCATCACGGCGGCAGCGCGGCCTCTCTCTGAAGTTTGCAAATGGTCGAATTGCCGCCATCTTCATCCTGAAGGAGACAGCAGTGGAGAAGAGCCAACACTTCTTTTTTCTCTCCATGGCGGGTCAGCCAAGCCGTGTTCCCGACCCTCCTCCTTCTCCTCCCTCGTATAGCATTGCGTGGGCGCGTCGAGGGCCAAGCGTCGTCATCACCACCAACCTCCCTCACCGTCCTCGAATCTTGTAGTAGACGCTACCAACGCCGTAGAGGATGTGGTCCCAGAACTCGTATGTCTTCTGCCACAGCCCTCCGGAGCGGGTGCCGTGCCGTTGTTCCGACTGTGCCGGGGCCGGATGGTAGTGGCCGTCGTGATAGACTAGTTCCGTCATTGTATATGTGTTTTGCGATGGTGTCTCGATCGTTCTTGGTTATGTTTGACCTGGCATTCCTTGGCCATCCCTTTGGTGCTTGGCTTCTCTTAAGTATTCCCTCTAGAGGTAACGAATGCAGCATGCCAGCCTGCCAACTAGTGATGGCAACCACTGACCTGCCAACCTTCTCATCGACCTTCCATCATCTGCCCTTGGCACGAGTCTCCAAGCCTCTTTGCCGCCGGCCGTCAACCTCTCGGATGCTATGAATTGTCCGGTCGTCGCTCGGCTGACTCCACCACCGGCCGATCACAAGCCTTCACCCCCGTGATACCGGCGAGAGGTGGCGAAATGCCGTTCAAAGACCGGATCTTCTTTTCGCATTTGCGTCACAGCGACCGTGTGTGTGGTAGAGTGGAGGCTTGGCGGTTGCTTGGCAAGAAGGCATGTATACGTAAGTCCGACTATCAAAGTCGCTGTGTCTTGTTACTCATCAACGTCTATTTCTGTAACCCAAAAGCTATTCCTGTAGTTTCCAACTTTGGCACTTAGTCAGTGTGCTATCTTTCGACCTGACATTCCCCGACCGGGACCCCCAACAGAAACGCCAGCCCCTTGAGCCTCGCTACACTATCTGCAGCACTGATTCTAAGTTGGTCATCCACTGCACGAGAAATGACCTCGTCTCGGCTCATCAACAGTCTCTTGACTGGGTTCCACACGCCTTGCGGGTCACGACCGTGTACGAGAGTATCATTATGATCTTCAAGTGAGGGATCAAGTGCCGTGGACACCACCCGGGCCGAAACAGCTGAGACAGCGTCGCTGTTGACACCGTCGACGATGGTCCAGAACAACTTGGCCCACGGCTCGCGTCCTTGGAAGAACTGTTGGTCGAATGCACCACCATCGTCGACTGCGGCTCTTAGGAAGAGCACGTACGACTTGACAAGTCTCACCACGTCGTTGACTCGGCAGTTGGAGAGGTTGTTGTTCAGTCGCGACCACAAAATCGACGAGTGATATGGATGATCGGGTTCTCGAGCGTTCCCAAGATCTGCCAGTATCCAGTCCTTGGTCATATCCAGCGTCTCATCAACCTTCCCCAAGGACCCCTTTCCTGAGAGAAAGATGTTGTCTGGCTTGATATCGTCATGGCACAGTCCATGTCGATTATGCATTCGGTCGAGAGCTTCGAAGAGTCGTTCAAGCGAAGGCCGGTAGAGGATGTCGAGATCGCGAGCTGTGTACGCGTGTCCAGAGTGGTGCAAGTGCCCCGCAAGTCTGACAAGACTTCCAGATGCCAGAAAGGGTGTCAAGAAATGCCACCGAGCTTCACCCTCCTCCGATGGTGACATGAAGTAATCCGTCACTGGCAAAAACTCGCCATCTCTCTGACTCTCGTCCCCGGCCATCCCTCCCAATAACAACGACGCTTCTATCTCGGTCGGCCATCGGAGCTCCAAAGGTGCATCGGGGACGCAGTTTCGAAACGGAAACTTGGCCTCCTTATATACTTTGATGACCGTGCCATTATAGGTGAACGCCTCTCCCTCAGATCCCGAGCCAAGCCGTTTCCACTCGTGCCGATTCGCCCATATCTCTCTCCTGGAGTACGATCCCCAGGCAAAATCCCCCGTCTCGTTCCATCTCCAGTGTGTATCTGCCAACGTCGAGCTGTCCCATGGCGTCAGATGGGTAAAAATAGTCGGGCTAAACTTGGCGATCAAGGCTTTTCGGTGGGTATGGATGACGGATATCCAGTGGAATGCTCCAAGAACCAGACAGAGTACGGCCGTTACTCGTGCCCATCGGCTAGTCGATCGTTGGTAGAGCCTTGTCCTTGGCCACCTATGCAGGTTTGCTTGCTTCTCCTTGAACATGGTCGATCCGTGCTGCAGGTTCGCATATCCGACCGACGGATTTCAGAGAGCGTCTACTCCGTATATACCGATCGCCGTTGGATTCACTGATGCAAGACGATACCATAAATAAACCACGCTCAGCCGTTGACACGACACAACTTGATCACTGCCTCCCATCCCATCCACTTCACAGGCCCCAGTACGGTACCGAGATTGAACCATCATGATGCCGAGACGTCTTGGCATAGAATAGGCAGATGGCATTGGTGCTTCGGAGTCGTAGGGCAGGCCGAATGTGCGCTGGAGATGGGTCATTGGCCAAGAAGCCGGATGTGTCGGCTTAGCATCTCATGTGATATTGAGAATGACAGCAGAAACAAGGATTCATTCAAGCATAAAGCCCCCGCTTACGGAGAAATGTTGCGGCCTTCACATGAGTTGGTAAGATATGGGGTTATCTGGCAAGGCACACTCTGACAGAATTGAGTATCTGAGCGCATGTTCAGCTGCACCACAAAGACTTACACCAAACCACGTCTTGGCGGCTCGTCCCAGACAAGATCAGCTGCCTAGAAACAAGTGGCCTTACCACAGACGAGTTAGCAAATAATAAATCAGGTTTATGGTATCAGTGTCCTGTGCAGTTGCTCAGCCATCCGGTCGATCCACACATGACAGGTTGTAATGCGGTGATGTATTGAAGGCCAAGTGCCAAGACTTTGTTGGCATTTGCACGGCCACAGACCATCCATTTTAGTCTTGTCTTGGTAACGGACCAATACGGAATCTATTTCAGGTGTTGGAGGCGGAATTAGACGGACTCTGTCATGAAACTCTTGGTTATTATTTGAGGCGCTCCCACAGTCCAGCACGTGCTCACGCTCTTTTTCGGGATGATACATAGGGCTGAACGACGAACCGTCTTGCAGTTACCAATGAGCTTGCCTCGTCTTTCTTCACCGATAACTCACGATATCATGATGCGTCTATTATTCCATGGTCCAGTATAACCTCATCTCAAGCTGAAGTTGGTGACCAGACCAAGGATCTCGACGGCTTTGGAGTAGTTTCTTCATCGAACCTTGGAAGACGGTCACTTCCGAGTGGAAGTGTAACCTGTACCCCTCGTTTGCATGTCTTCACAGCGAAACCAACGTCAAAGAGACATCATGATGTAATTCGGTGTCATGTTGGAGGATACAGACGTCAGTTGGCGTTCACCGACGTGATGTCATACAAACTCCAGAGGAGAGTATATTATTGAGCTCGAAAGCTGCCGTTCAAGTTTCCGCTCAGCTACAGTCTTACAACTTTGTCAATATTAGTCCAACACAGCAAAATACCTGAATCGAACACCGTCTCAAATCTCAAACATATCGTCAAATCTTCAAACATGGCCCCCGGCCCTGGCACCAAGGCGAGTCTAAAAACACTCGTTTCAGAATGTGACACTGACATGATACAGGTCGATCTCGGCGAAAACGCTCCCACTAAGAAGGAACGCGCTGGTGCTGTGCCTTCGGAATCTCTAGCTGCCGAGTCCTTCAAGGAGGGCGGTGAGTTCACCTCCAACAAGGGCATCCGCTCCGAGAACGTTCCCTCCAAGTCCTCCGAAACATCGGGCGCAGGTCGCGATACTACCTCGGCCAGTCAAACTGGCAACGTTTCCAAGACCTCTGCTGGACAAGCTGAGGGTCAGCACCGTCGTCACAACAAGAATCTCGAGGGGAGCTGGGATGAGTCCAACACGGAGGATGGTCTTCAGAAGGCGCTGAATGCTGAGCCTGGTAGCGACGACGACCCTGGTCGGTTGGCAGAGCTGAAGTTCCAGCAGCAGCAAGCTGGAGGGGGTGCTGGCCCTAGGGAAGAGAAACTATCGACCAAGTCTGGCTACGATGCTCTGGATGCAGAGACTCCTTCTTAAGTAGTTCGGACGCTGTTGTGTGTGCTACATGATAGTATCAATGATGAATGATTGCATGATACAGTGTGTTCCTACAGGCTGTTTCAACCATGGTTGGCCTCACATGATCAGGCATTGACGCTGAAAGTCGCATGAGATTGACTGTCAACCACGGCCATAGTCAAGGCAACCATACAAATTCCTTGCTTCGAGCGAGGCAGCTCAGCCTAATGAAAATCCTCATGAAATGAGTCAGGGCCTTGACGGTTTAAATGCCTGATACGAGTTTGTCTACAGGGATTGCACAAGCATAAAGGCCGTTGCCTTGCCGGGCGCAACGCGCGGCATCACGATTCTGATCGAATCAAATAAACACAGTGTCAAACAATTCACAAAAAAGAGGTTTTGATCATGCCGTTTGTTAAAACTAGATCGGGACACCCGAGTCGTAAAGGCAAATAAACACAACCACCTCTTTCAAAAACTACGGACTCGCCGCCTCTCAGGGTTGTGAGCAAGGTAATGGGAGGGCTGTGTGAAAATCCTGAATCTTATCAGCCAATCAGGAGAGATGGATTCATGACGTCAAGGTAGAGGCGGTACCGAGTCTTGGCATGTGTTTTGGTAGAGGGGTCTCGAAGCACGAAATATGAAGGAATTGGAACAAAATAAGATGGATTAATAGCAAATAACGGATACATACAGAGGGTTGAAGTTGTTCAACAACTTTCTCGTCAACAATTCCAACGCATATCCCCTTATCTCCCCATCATCTCCCACACAAGTTGATGCCTTAGTTGCTGCCTGACTCTCTATCAGCCAAAAAATCTGAAAATCTTGCCCCACCAAACAAAAATTCACCCCGCCTCGCCTCCATCAACCGCCGCGAAAAAAGCCTTGAACCTGAACACACCCATCCAACCGGCAGGACAGGAACCGCCACGCTCATTGTTTTGCTTGGCCACTTTTTTTCTTTGTCGGTCAAGTCAGCTCTTCCTTTTTCATCATCCTCCTTCCTCCTTCCTCCCAGTCATCGAACGGTTCATCTTCCAAACCACCCATATACCCCTCGGTTTGGATTTTTCTAGACTCTCTTTTCGACAGTCTCCGTTCCTTCGACCCCGCGCTTTCTTTTTTTCCCACAGTCCATCGTCACAATGGCTCCCTCCGCGTCCAAGGAGAAGCGTCTCGCAAAGAAGGCTGCCGAGGGCAAGCTCAAGGGCAAGAAGGGCAAGAAGGCCGAGGAGGTCCAGCTCGACGCTCACGGCAACCCCGTCAAGGACGATGACGGCCCCGCGACCTCGGGCGACAAGCTCGGCGAGGTGAAGCGCCTCGCTGATCAGATGGACAAGCACGGCATCTCAGACCGAGTCACCACCGGTGTCCTGGCCTCCGTCCCCTCCAGCAAGGACGTCAAGATCACCAGTGCCAGTCTGGTCTTCCACGGCCGAGTGCTCATCACTGATTCCACCCTCGAGCTCTCGTACGGTCGACGATACGGTCTCCTTGGTGAGAACGGTTGCGGAAAGTCTACTTTCCTCAAGGCTATTGCCGCCCGCGAGTACCCCATCCCCGATCATCTCGATATCTACCTTCTCAACGAGGGTGCCCCTCCCAGCGACCTCGGTGCCCTTGAGTGGGTTGTCCGAGAGGCCGAGTTGGAGCTGGAGCGTCTTGACAAGATGGCCGAGAAGCTTCTCGAGGATGAGGGCCCTGAGAGCCCCGTTCTCATTGATCTCTACGACGTGAGTTTCCTGCCCCATACAAGAGATGCACCGCTAACCCTTCACAGCACATGGACAAGCTGGACCCCTCCACCTTTTCTACCCGTGCTTCCCTGATCCTCACGGGTCTGGGTTTCAACAAGAAGACCATCCACAAGAAGACCAAGGACATGTCTGGTGGTTGGAGAATGCGAGTCGCCCTCGCCAAGGCCCTTTTCGTCAAGCCCTCGCTGCTGCTTCTCGATGACCCCACTGCCCATCTGGATCTCGAGGCCTGTGTGTGGCTGGAGGAGTACCTCAAGAAGTGGGAGCGAACCCTGGTGCTCGTTTCCCACTCGATGGATTTCCTCAACGGTGTCTGCTCCAACATGATCGATATGCGTGGCAAGCAGCTCGTCTACTACGGTGGTAACTACGACTCGTACAACAAGACCAAGTCCGAGAACGACACCAACCAGATGAAGGCCTACCAGAAGCAGCAGGATGAGATCGCCCACATCAAGAAGTTCATTGCCAGTGCTGGTACCTACGCCAACCTGGTGCGACAGGCCAAGTCGCGCCAGAAGATTCTCGACAAGATGGAGGCCGATGGCTTCATCCAGCCTGTTGAGCAGGACAGGGTCTTCACCTTCCGCTTCGCTGATGTTGATAAGCTCCCCCCTCCCGTTCTGTCTTTCGACAACGTCACCTTCTCCTACTCTGGAAACCCCGAGGACGACTTGTACCGCAACCTGGACCTTGGTTTCGACATGGACTCCCGAACTGCCCTTGTCGGTCCCAACGGTGTGGGCAAGTCTACTCTCCTCCGACTCATGACTGGCAAGCTTTCTCCCACTGGCGGTGTCGTGACACGACACACTCACTTGAAGCTGGGTCTCTACTCGCAGCACAGTGCTGAGCAGCTCGACCTGACCAAGTCTGCTCTTGACTTTGTGCGTGACAAGTACAGCGAGAAGTCCCAGGACTACCAGTACTGGCGTCAACAGCTCGGCCGATACGGTCTCACTGGTGATTCCCAGACTGCCCTGATGGGCACTCTGTCTGAGGGTCAGAAGAGCCGAATCGTCTTTGCCCTTCTCGCCATCGAAAGCCCCAACATGCTGCTGCTTGACGAGCCTACCAACGGTTTGGATATCCCCACCATTGACAGTTTGGCGGATGCCATCAACGCCTTTAGCGGAGGTGTCATTGTCGTGTCTCACGACTTCCGGTAAGCATCAGGAATAACTCATTTGAATGGCTTACGCTAATAATGAATAGATTGCTCGACAAGATTGCCAAGCAGATTCTCGTGTGCGAGAACCAGACCATCCGCGAGTGGGACGGCTCCATCTCCGAGTACAAGAACTACCTTCGCAAGAAGATGATCACGGCCGGTGCCGTCTGAGGTGCATGCGAGGAGGTGTGACGTTTTACCACTCAGCATGAAGGGGAAAATTGACTATAGAGGATTCTGTTCCAAAAGTTAATGAATGACATTAGCATGACGTGGGTATTTTCATGGGTTTTCAGCGGCGGGTGGCTAGACCATCAGGATATTTGACACGATGGGACACGAAGGCCACGACGACGCTACCAGGACGCAGGGCACGGCCTCATCTCATAGAGAGGCCCGGAAGCGTTCATGAAGATGCGGAAATGTTGACGGGATAGATTTCTTTTTCTTGGGTCCGGCTGTTTAGAAGCCTTGATTAGTATGAACATGGGTACTCTGTTTGATATCATATTGATGATGCATCGTGAATGTCGATCGGTGTAAGGCTAGACTCTGAGCTCGGTAGTTGGGGCTCGGAGACTTTGTGATCCATTATACGGAGTATTGGGGATGGGTATGGAGGTTTGTTGACCGGTAGAATCGTGGTTGTACCTTGAGGGGAGATGGTCTTCGCGTCAGATGCCCTTTGTGTGATCCCCTCGACATTAGATGCTTCAGTGTCTCATTAGAGGCTCGAGCGTACCTCACAAGCGTTTAGTACATTGCAATTTCCCACTATTCGATATCCTTCGTCAAGTGAATGATCATAGTGATACTTGTAACTTTGGACATGACAATGTTGACGTGTAGCAGAGGGCGGTCGCATATTTTGACTGTGGATGTTGATTCGCGTAACCAGTGAAACACTGTCTTGGTCAGTTGGTAATCCACCGACAAAAGTAGAAGCAAAAGAGATAAACAACAATTATAAAAAAACGGAAAAATCCGTAGCTACATAGAAAATCACAAATAAAGTATCCAGCAATTGTCATTAAGTATGCAGAAATGTCAAAACCATCGCTGGGAAAGCCTCCCCATCAACTACCCTACAAGAAATGAGGCCATCTCCGGATTTTATTCCCCGCTGCCGGAGCGACGGGAGGACGATGGGGCGTCCAAAACAGGTTTAACGCTGCAAGGCATAGCTCGGGCGCGTGGCCCACATGGGACGGAGACGAACGGGACAGGGGCAGCAGGTCGGGACCTGGAACCTGAAAGGTCAGCAAGCCCCCAAAGATGGAAGAGAAGAGAAGATAAAAAAGAAAAAAAGGCGCGGCGGGTGAGGAGACTCGAGGTTGTGCATGCCTTGATTTGTGCCACTATCCCATGGTTGGATGTGTAAGGTTATCAAGGATGATGTGTATAGCCAGGGCATAGATACACAACAGGGACTGGTCATACAAGACAGTCAAGCATTGGAAATCAAAATCATCACCATCTGAGCCCATCGCCAACTCCTCTTTAGGGAATCGTGCCTTGCACCAGTTGGTGAATTCAAACAAGATCCAATAATCAAAAGAGACACTCATCCTGATGGCGTGAGCTTGTCGTGTCAACAAATGCCATCTCGGTGGTCATATTTTAGGCCGCTCAAGCCCACTGCTGGTTGACCCTTCGCCCCCCCGGCACCCGTGGAAATTCTCGACTCTCGCTTCTCAAAATCTTGGGGTTTGTCTCCATCCGCCAATTCCACGTCCACACCCGGCGCCTCCATCCGCGTGCGCAGCATCACGGCCAGGACGGGGGGATTTTCCCTTCCCCTAGAATTACTGTACGCCTCACTTCCCTCTCTCTCTCTTGTCTTTGTTTTGGGCTTCTCCACCATCACATCGCCACACCACCATCAGCATCGTCACCCCTCCCTCTCTTTTCCCCCATTTACTTGATTCTATCGATTTTCAGCTTGGTACTTACACTTGCCTTGTCTCACCTGCGCCGGGCCTGGCTGTCACTCGGCTCCATCCATCCATCACCACTGCGCTGCACCCGCACCCACCTCATCACCATCAGCCTCTAGAAACAAACTCGAGTCGACTCCACCCCTCTCTTTTGCTCGATTCCCGCCTATTTGTGTGCCTCCCCCCTCGTCTTGTCGCCATTGTCCGTATTCTCCGTTCCCCCGCTAGCTCTGGCATACCCATTGGCCCTGATTGCCCTTTCTCACCCTCGTTTCTTTACCCTGTCCCTTTTTCCCCATCTCGAGTGCCGCTCCGCTTGCATCGCCGCATCCCATCCCATCCCAGCGCCACGCTCCCCATCCCCATCACCTCCACACCAGAACCATCTGCCCCCCCAGTCAGGGCACCCGTCCCTTTGAACTCGCCTTAGACCTGAGCTCAACCCAGACCCGACAAACCTCGCGATCCCATCCTCGTCGCCCATCGATTCCCCCGTGCGTCTTTTGCTGTTGCGCCTGGCCGCATCATCGCATCCTTGGTCGCGACCGAATCGAATCGGATCGACACCCCACAGAGCCTCGCGTGCGCATCGCGACCTCTAGCTGATCGAGTGCGCATCTATCTGAGCCTCGAAATCCCACCCCCTCAATCGTCGCGTCACTGCCCATCGTGCACATGGGTCCTCAACTCTGATACATCTTCGGCCGTCGAATATCACACGCTGCTTGTTATTCTTGGTCCTTGCTGGGTCGACTTTGTCTTTCCTTGAGCGCTAGGTCTCCAGCATGGACAAGAACGGCTACAACTCAACGGTGCTGCAGCGGCCACATAGAGAAGACGGTGGCGATGAGGAGCGGGAATCTCGCTCACATCACCACCACCATCACCACCATCATCATCACCATCATCGGCGCGACGTGATGGGTGGTCCTGATGCTCCTCGTCCTGGCGGCGACTCGGCTGGTCCTCCAGCTGGTGCGACGGCGACAGCCTCATCGAATGCGAACGCGAATGCGCATCGGCACTCCACCTTCAGCCTGCGCTCGCCCAAGCAGTCCGAGTTCCGTCCTCCTCCCTTCTCTCCTCCAAACCACGGCCACGCCCATTCTCACAACACCAGCACCTCGAGTGCTGGTCATCCTCATCAATCCCCGCCTCGCCAGGCATTGCATAATCCCAATCCCTACATGTCTTCCTCGTCCTCGGGCGCACCGGGCGGTCCCGTCGCTCCCACTCTACCACCTCCCGTTGGTCTCAAGTCATCATCACCTACGCCTGGTGGGCTTCAACACCATCCTTCGCAGCACCCGTCGCACCAGCAGCATCAACACCAAGCTCCTCCCCCGGTGTCGCCGCTGCACCCGCCGGCTGGATACTATTCGCCCTCGGCGCCCGACGTCCACCACGGCCGTGACAGTAAACCCGCATCGCGAGGCTTCTATGACCCAACGACCGACACCACAGAGCGTCGAGTTTCTGTTTCCGACGCGGCTACGCCTGCCGCCTCCTGGCACAACGCCAACGCCAACGCCAACGCGCCCCCGGCTGGCACTCCCAAGGTAAGGGGGGCAAATCCACTTCTTTTTTTGTCTTTGACTCTCCGTCGTCTCGCCCAGGCTTGATTTGATTGAATGCACCTAACCTGCCTGTCGGCCCTTGAATTTCTCTCTTTCCCCCAACATCATTCACTTTTTCATTCTCGTCTATTTCATCACCCATCGTCTCCAGGCCATCAATGCCTGCTTCCCTTCTGAACACTATCTTAGTAATTTTTCCCGCCCTCCCGTAACATCCATCGCATCACGCTTAATTTCATCACCACTCCCCTTAACGCGGCAACACGCATTCTTTCTCTCACCCGCCGCAAACCAAACCAAAACAACCACATCACATCTTTGCTGACGTGGAGCTAACTTTTTATTTTCACCCCAACAGACTCGTGAGCCATACAACTATTCGCAATCTGGTGAACAACACACTCCTTCCTATTACAACGGCGGCTCTTATACATCACCACGTGCATCTTCATTCAATCGCCCGCGCAGCCCGTTATCCCATTCGCACCCTCAGCCTGGGTCTCTCAGTCCTCCAGGGCGACAGCCGCTCCTAGCTTCTCCGAGCTTGAGACATGGTGCAACGGCCAATATGAGCTCGACAACCAACGGGGCTCCTGCCCTTCCACCCTTCAAGTCGGACCTCGCGGCTCCATCACCACCAAAGCCTAATCCTCCATCTACCAGCGTACGCCATTTCGATCTTTATTCTGATGCATCAATGCTAACTCGATACAAGACGCCGAGCCGAGCTGCTGACCCCATGTCCTTCTCCAACATTCTTTCTAGTGCCGAACCTGCACCAAAACCTCGGGAACGAACACCTGTGGTTGAAGAGCGCGGTCAAGAACATGACCGAGACCGACGCGACCGAGAGCTGAAGCGTGATTCGCGAGAAGCGAAACCGTCAAAGCGCGAGCTGGAACCCGAGGATCACGACACTGAAGTCGAGAAAGACGTCGAAACGGAGCCCGAACCCGTAAGGGGAAAACCAAGAGAACCTGTCAAAAAGAGAGGAGGCCGTAAGTCGACCAAAGGCCGCGCCTCTGACATCCGAGAGGCGGCAAGAGAGGCAACAACCCCCAAGAATGGGCGACGATTATCCATCAAGAAGGAATCTCCGACTCCCCGTCTACCTGCTAAGCGACAAGCGAATGGTCAGCCTAAGCAGAAGACGTGGTCGACTGAGATGGAAAAGAAGATCCAAAATGCCGAGTCTCAGATTGACAGCAAGGCCGCGGCCCTCGATCCTGATGAGTTCGACGAGCAGCAGTACAAGGAACGCGCGCAGAAGCGCCGACGTGTAATGGCCGAACTAGACCTGGATCAGAGCCGACTTCGACGAGACGCTTATGCAACAACAGCAACCAAGAAACTGGTACAGCATGCTGAGCTTGGCAAGCGGCGCTACGACGATGTTTTCTATGATGAAGCTCTTCACGAAGTTCGGGAGCAAGAGGTCTACGCTGAGAAGGAACGCAAGAAGGATATGCAACGCAAGCGACGGCGCGAAAAGTCCATGGCTGTCACCATGGAGCAGAAGGAGGCGGCTCTCGCGCGCGCCGAGGCAGCCGAAGACGAGGCAGAGCGCCAGAAGCACCTCCGTGATGCTGAGCGTGCCAGTAAGAAGGCACAGCAGACGAAGCTTATCCTACAACAAGGAATCAAGGGCCCTGCCAGG